AAAAATGTTGGTATAAGTGTAGGTATTCCAATTCCTAAATTCATATACTTTGAATTCATGGGCAGTTCTTTTTGTTATTCGATTTCTCAAATCTTGATAAGATCTCTTTTTCAATCATTTTAGAAAAAAAAAATTTTTCGCTTTGATAATATAATCAAATTTAATCAAAATAGAATTTTGCTATAATTTATTACAATTTATTTATTATCAATCCATACCTTAAGGGATTAACTCAAGTTCTAATTCACCATCAAAGTATTTCCTAGTATAATATTATTTACTTACTTAGCAAGATTATGATTTTTTTCAGCATATGATGCTTTAACTCTCCTTAATTATCCATTATTCAATAATATACCAATACCTTCATCATTCGTACCACAATTATTGCTAACCATTGTCAAATTTTTTGTTCTTGCGTTCTTTAAGGCATTTATACTATTCTCAGGAATATCACAAAGACCAAAACCTTATACTAATAGAGTTGAACCAGATGGAATTTATTCCACTATTGAAAGATCAATTATGATCTTTACATATTATTTACTCATATAATGAAAGTATAGTGTCTTGCATAAAGAAAACTAGATATTATGATTCCTCATTTTCTTAAATATACCTAACTTAATACGGATTGTCAAATGCTTATAGTCAATTTAACAGATTTTAATTATTTTAGAAATAATTTTAATTTAAGAAAATCCTTAAACTTGATTTCTTATATTTATCTATTTATACAAAAATCCCTAAATTTTGGATTTAGTATAAACTAGAGCAATCATCCAAATATTTCATGAATTAAAATCCAAAAATTTGAACTTCAATACTTAATTAAGATTTAGTAATATACTCAAAGGATGTAATTGTCCTTCTAATTAAATAATTAAATTGTTTTTAGAAGACAAGATAAATTCAATTATAAAGAAAAATTAGTTTGATCCAATATTAATTCAAATAAATTTATGAATTATAAATTATTAATTAATTATTCATTTTATTTATTTTTATCCTTATTCACATTCACTTATTACTCATTTTAGATTTAAATTATTACAAACTTAAATATGACTAAAAATCATTTTATTATTAATTATATTATATATTCAAAAGAATTATGGACTTCTTTAGAATTATAACGATTGTTAACTCTATGGGTAATTACCTCTACTATTAGTTGATATCTAAGGAATTATTCTTCTAGGAGTTGATCCTCCATTATATATATTCCTCAAATCAATACTATTTTTTCTCTTTAATTATGAATTCTATAAATCATCTTCATTAGTCTTCAGTCTATTACTACTTTCTTTTTATGGATATAATATCTACCCTAAAGATGGAGATACCTAAACTTCCGGTTATTACTAAGATATTGATCTCATCTTATTTAATCTAGGAGTTGATAACTATTATAACTATAGATAATATTCCTCCAAGGTTGTGTCTATGTTGAATTTTAAATTGCATTTAGGACATTCAACGAGTTTATTTAATCCATATGTTTTTATAGACTGATATCTAGATTATAGACAAGATTTACAATAATAATGTCCACACTTACTCTTTACTCCTTATTCTTATATTTAATTACAAAAATCACAAAAATCGGATGCTTTCTATTTGATTGAATTACTCCTTTCCAACAATTAATTTACATCAATCTCTTTATTGTTGCTCTTCATTAATTCATTATTCATGATTTCTGTGCATGAAGGTTCTAAACAAAAGTGAGTTTAAAAATATTTGGATTTATTTAAAGAATCCTAAATGCATTTTTCACAATGTGTATGTCCACATTTATTTGTATACAGTTTACCTTATTATTATTTACATTAGAGACATTTATTAACTTAAGTTGATAGATCTATAAGAGGTGATAATTAAAGAAATGGGAAATCCTCTTTACTAAGTTCTAATTTACAATAGAAATCTCGACAAATGAAATACTGTCCCAATTTAAAATACAACTTCAAACATTATTTACAATATGTGTGATTACATGCTATTGATTTATTTAATTCAACTTAATCAAAAGATCTCAAACAACCATTACATTCTTACTTCATTTCTAAAATAAAATCATGTTATAATGAATTAGATCGACTCCTTTACTTTTCTTAAACTTCTACTGTATAATGGCTTTAAAATTATACTATTTTTAACACTAATGGAAGATTCTCACTGTTCGAAAGTGAAATTGAAGTATTGTATGTCAAAAATATAATATCCACTTTGAAAGTCTAACCTAATTTCTAGAGAATGTCTTTATTGCATATTTAAGGAGCTATTATTTTATGTTAAGCAAATATATGCATCTTCATTATTTATGATGATTCTTCTTAATTTACTAATGTGTAAAAAAGAGCTAAATTTGGATTTCGAATCATTTGATTTAACAATTCTTAAGTCTTGTGAATTCTAATTGGAGCAAATTAATTAGTTAGTGGTAATAGTAATTTTATCTAATTTTAATGGTTTGTTTTAATTAATATTTCCACTAAACCACATAAAAGAGCAGACCAACAATCATTGCAATCATGAGATTCTTATTATTTTTATGAATTTTACATTTATTTATTTAATATACTAACATTGATTAATAACTTAGACCATTATTAATTTATGATCTATTATAAATTAATTATATTATTTTTATTGCAATATCATTAAACTGATTAATTGATTAATTCGATAATAATAAAAATTAAAACTAATAAAAAGTAATACAAAATAAAAATGCAGAGAGAAGAACTCCTTATAAGAACTCCTCAACAGAAAAAAACTGCAAATGGAATCTCTTTTTAATAGAAAATAAATTAACTGAATAAGAAAAACAGCATTAAATTTTCAGAACTATTAAAAGAGCGTAGATTGGATAGTAAATCAAATACTAAATTTACATTTAGAAGACCTAGTATAACTCGTAAACCTGTTTATAAAATTTAATAAGGTATTATTATCAAAATCTTATAAAAGCTTGTAGTATACAAAGACACTTATCATAAGAACCTTAGGCATCAGGTACTTATAGTGTTGTATTTTCAAACAATGCACACTAATTTTTGGATAAAAGGAAAATTTAAACAAGCAATTGTGATCCTATGGAAGACAACAAAAATAAAGTTTTTAAGGGATTCTATAATTAATCAGATATAAGCAATACAAAATCGATTCTCACCAGTTTATTATAAGGTATGTAACTTAGAATTTCTGCAGTTACACCATTTCCAAAATTAATAGAACATAATGCCTTGATATCTCAAAAAACAATAAGATAAAAGGCATTTTCTTAGGATAAAGAAAGGGATAAATCTTAGTCTTTTACAGAAGAACTAGATAAGAGACTTAAGTTTAGAATTTAACAAAACACTAAAAAAAGAAAATCTGTTAATTAAACTAATGCTAGTCCAGTTCCTTAAAAGATCATTGTTCCTCAAAGTAATTCAACTTAAATTTAAAGTAACAATTTTAAGTTTTCTTTAACTGAGTATTCTTAATTGTCAAGGGAATAGTTATTTTAAACTAAATTACAGAATTATTAACATTTTTTATTTTTAGTATCTTGTTAAAGTGGATTTTACACTTAACCATAAGATTGTTTAATTGAATTGAAATTAAAGATCGGAGGAGGAAATAATTCTTTCCTTTTAAAAGAAATCGTAAAGTAACGATGGTGGTTGACTCAATTGAAATTCAATGAGTTATCAAATGAAGATAGCAATTTCATTTGGACTTAAATAAAAGTTTAAGAATTTATAAATTAATAAAAATATTCAAATAATTGTGTTTAACAATAGAAAAAGAAAATCTTGAATTAACAATAATTTAATTTAATCAAGAAGAAATAGGTTATTGATCCATTTTTAAGATTGATGAGAGACGATAGTGAATATAAAACAATTGATAGAAATTAAAAAGCATATATGAAGTTTGTAAATTAGAAGAATTTAAGTATTCTGAAAGTTGATTCGAATATTAAGGTATGATATATTCAAATAGATTAGATTCACAATCATATTGATAAGAATTACCACTTAGGAAATAAGAAAGCTATGTATCATAATCTTAAAAAATATTATGAATTGACAAAGCAAGATTTGAATTAGATCATTCCAAGAACATTTCACATACAGAAGGGAGCTAGAGATAAGGTTTATCTGTAATTTCTGGAATTCTATAAAAAATAACCAAAGTATAAAAAAGATTACTATCTAGAGGCTCTACTTGGATTGTAAAACCTGGGGAATTTACAAATAGAGGCACTGGAATAACAGTATGTTAAAGTTTATCTGAAATAAATAAAATTGTGAGTAAAAAGTAGATGCATACTGATGGAAAACAATTTACCTACTTAATTTAAAAGTATATAGAAAAGCCTTTCTTGTATAACAAAAGAAAATTTGACATTCGATGTTACTTTCTTATTACATAACTTAATAATGTAATGAGAGCATATTGGTATGAAGATGGATACATTAGAACTTCATCTGAAGAATTCGATTTAGATGATCCTGCTAATTTATATGTTCATTTAACTAATGATGCAATATAAAAATATGCTGATACATATGGTAAGTATGAAAATGGAAATAAATTATCATTTTCTGAATTTCAACGTTATTTAGACAATCAACCAAAAAAATATCATTTTTATAAGGATCTCTATCCTTAACTTATTGATATTGCTACTACTAGTATAAAATCTGTGTATTGTAAATTAGCTCCTTATAAGAAAGAATTCAATTTTGAAATATTTGGTTTGGATTTTATGATAGATTAATCATTTAAACCATATTTAATTGAAATTAATACTAATCCATGTTTAGAAACAAGTAGCCCTGTATTATAAAGAATAATTCCATAAATGGTTGAAAATGCATTTCGAATGTCTATTGACACGATTATTCCACCACCTGATTCAAGTTTATGGCCTCCATGTAAGAAACATTTTCTTTTTTATGACAATCTCTTAGAAAACAATAAGTTTCAATTAATCTTTGATGAAAGGGAAGATTCTGAAGAATTAATTAAATTATATGGAGCAACAATCATTCATGATGAAATTGATGAAATGGATGAAGAAGAAGAAGAATTTGAAAGTGAAAGTGAAAATGAAAATGAAAATAACGATATTGATAATTGAATAATTTTTCAATTACTATTATAATATACAGAACATATATTTCACATATTCTTCTTTACATCAATATCATTCAAATATGATATTATGATGTTTATTTACTAGAATTTCAAGTGAATTTTTTAATATTAGATAATCCTTTAAATGTTATTGCTTCAATATTAATTATAATAAAGTTGGTCTTTTATCATGAATTTTCTAATTTTTATATTTGAAATTTGGAAAATAACCAGAATATTTCGTCTAGACAAATATTAACATTTTTCTTATAATTATTTTTTTTAATTCTGTGTCTCCCTTATTAAATTCAACTTCATTAAAATGATAATATCATGGTTGTTGATTATAATGATATTAAGTTTTCATTTGGCCAAAGCTAATAAATCAAACCCTTTACGATTTATTTTTATAGAATTTCTTATTTTCCTTTTGGTATGGAACTTTAATTAATAATTTTGAAATCAAATCTTTAGATATTAATTAATTTCTAATTAAAAAGGAAATGAGGCTATTTCATCAAATTTGCTAGAATAAAATTTAATATAAATTCATAAAGTAATACTTCCAAACAAAATATATATCTATCATAAAATTATGTTTATACTTGTAAAAATTTTAGGGTATATTTGGAGAACCAAAAAATTAATAGACTGTCTCTTCTCTATTTCTATTAAGCTTAGCTAATTCAAAATCAGATATCAATTAATTATTTACACTTTTTGAAGTATATGATCCCAATTTGAATTATTATTTAGAATCTGTTTTAATTTTTAGCATTTATATCTTAAACTGTTCAGATTTATACCTAAAATTGCAGCTAGCACGTTTAGCTGCTTATTGATCTTCTTATTCTGAATTTTTCTCTTTTTTTTGTGTTTCAAGAAACTTTTATTATTTTTAGAAAACCATTTAAGCAAAGAAAACAGCATTTTTCAGACATTATTCACTTTGAGAGAAAACATGTTTTTAAACTTCAAAATTAGGATGATCAAAAATAGTTAAAGTAATTCCAGATGGTATTTATAGTGATCTGATCTCATATTAGAAATCTCTAAGTAGCATACTTCAATTAGCGAAGATCTCCACAAGTCTTCATTGATTCCCCTTTGAAATAGCATTAATTGTAAATTATGACACAATCATTTCTCTCACTATATAAATATTAATAGAGATGCATTACTTTACTAAGATGTCATTATTATAAAAATTTATATCTTTTGGATCAGCATTATAATTAGATTCTTTAGATTTATTTTCATCAACAATATTTAAATTAATTTATTTTTTAATTATTATTCATACTACTTAAAAAATAATTCTAATTTAATTATTACAAAAATGACTTTCTTATTTTAATAGCATAAAATATCTAGTGGAAGATGCTCAATTGATAAAAAATAATCAATATAAAAATTCTTAACACAAATCAATGTTTGGAAATTTTTAATTTAATTTAGTTTTTTGTTGTGGTTACTTAATTAATTTTGGCAATCATTTTTTTATATAAATCTGTTGTTTTTAGATGTATAAAATTAGAACAATGAATCTTTTTTCTTTGATTCCTTTTACTTTTAGCCCTCCAATATTTAGGTTATAGTAAGCTAAACTGGATCTTTATATCACTATTGGCTTCTTTTTATGGATAATTTTTAGGATAGTAGTTTAGCGATTAAATGTTATTTTCATATTATATATTAATAATAGTATAATTCAATTTAGTAGTGTAAAAGTTTGCACTTCAACCCTGAAGTTTGGTTAAAAAATTTTATGGTTTTTATCTTTCACTGCCTTATCTAACATATATTTGTCTATTATTAATAAACCAGTATTGTCTAGAAATGTAGTATGGAACCAAAATTAAAACATTATCTATTTACTTATTAAGGATTTATTGTAACATACAATACGAGTATCACCTTGAACTACTACATCTATATAGAATATTATAAAACTATCATTCACTATTTGGAACTTTTTAATTAGTGTTTGAGTTTGATTATTTTAAATTAAAATGTAAGGATTGCATGAATTATTACAATTCATTATTGGTATAGTAATTATTCTAATTTATGATATTTAAATTTTATTTTATGGAATATCTTGTGCTTCATAACCAAAAGACAATGCTTTTTCAAAATACAAAATATAACGAATTTAAGAAGGAATCGTAACTCCTTTCTTGTTTTTTGTCCTCATTTTACCATAAAAACGCATAGCATCATAACTGTTTTTGAACATACCTGAATAAAGCAAGTAACAACAAATCATAACACCAGTTCTACCTTTACCAGCTTTGCAATGAATAGCTATTACATTTTATTTGTCTTAACAAATAAAATTGTGTATTTCATTGCATAATTCAAAAATCATGCTGAATTATGGTGCTTAATGATCTTCAAAAGGATATTCTGAAACATTTCCATCAAAATATGCATGATTATATTTACGTTCAGAACATAAGTTGATTATTCGATAATGATTCTTGTGTCTCTGATTAAAAAACTTTTAAACATCCACCATAGAATTTCTATAAAAAGCTTCATAATCTATTGCAGGATAGCCCATGGCTATTATTTATTCAGTTATATCTAAGGTATAAATCAGAAAATTACATGTCAAATCTAAATTGAAACCATCCTAAACAAATCTATGTTTCTGTTTGCTCACTAATGATTTTAAAGGATTACTAAAGAAACTTTTATTGTTGTTTTCAATGCTCTAAAGACTTTGTTAAGTTTATTATATCAATTCTTCTGAACTTTCTTTAACATCACAGAGAGGTAATGTTTAAAATTAAAAATCTAAAGTAGATGATAGATCAAAAACACTTTCTTTGTCCATAAATTTTAATAATATTTTTCCTACTACCAAAATTAAGTTGTTTTGAGATAATAAAATTGTAAAATTAATTAAGGAGATCAAGCACAATACATAAACATAACTAATAAATCAATAATATCAATTTCATTCTCAAATATATTTCTAGATTGCTAGATTTTCTTTAAAATACATTCTTTTATTTATGATAATTTATTTTATTTCATTTAATGTCTTCATAACCTTAAATTTCTATTAACTTAAATAAAATCATCTTCACTCAAATTCTTGTTAAGAATTGTTAGAATAAGATGTTCTCTTTATTTAATTTCATAAAAAATATTAAGAAATGTATAGTTTTGAAATAAAGAATTGAATTCTAATATTTTTTAGTTGTGTATTCTAAACGTTAATATAATAATGCATAAAGTACCAACTTCTAGATCTGCTTCAAGCAATCGAATTACATTAATTAATAAACTCAGTTCACCTCTACACACTTAATAAGACTTAGTTGATCAAAAAATCAACTAAAAAGAACTGATTGAAACATTACTAAAAACAATAAAAAGGAAGCCAACTTAAAATGAGAAACCCTAAAAAAGAATACGATCAAATGCTAATTCTGGATAGAAATTAGTGGAAATTAATAAAAATGTATTGCACATAAGAGATTATGAAACAGAATAATAGACATTTAAGAAAATGCTCAATAAAACTATTTTACCAAAAGCATAATAATTATCGAATTATACTATGTTATAATTCTTAGGCAAAGGAAAATATAGTGAAGTTAAACTAGCTTGTGAAATCAATACTGGAATACATGTTGCGCTTAAAATAATGAAAAAAGAATAAATTTGCTCTATTTGGAAGAGTATAGCATAAGAGTTAAAGATTTAATATCTTCTCAATCATCCTAATATTGTTAAACTATACACATTCTTTCATACAAGTTTTAATTATATTTTATATTATAGGCACTGAAATTGTATTAGTATTAGAATATTGTTGTCATGGATAATTACATAAATTATTGAGATCATTACCAGAAACATGTTTTTCTGAATAGGTAGCCTCATTCTATGTTAAATAAGTTGCTTCTGCTTTAAATTATTTACATAGAAATGGTATAATTCATAGAGATATTAAACCAGAAAATATATTTTTATGTTACAATTAGATTAAATTGGCTGATTTTACTCATTCTATTTACTCTCCTCAATAAGAACGATCTACTTAATGTGGATCATTGGCATATATCTCTCCTGAAATTGTTAAAGGAGAAAATTATGATAAAAGTACTGATATGTGGTCTTTGGGAGTATTAGCATTTGAATTATGTACAGGAGAAACACCTTGGGAAGATCTTTCCTATTAAGAAATGTAGGATATGATTATAAGTGGCAATATTAGATTCCCAAATAAATTTTCAGAAGAATTAAGAGATTTTATTAGAAATTTAATACATGTAGATCCAAAAAATAGAATGAATGCTAGGTAAGCACTTAGTCATCCTTGGCTAATTGATTGTAAATAGGAAATATCTTAATTTACTATTGATATATGATTAATTACTAATTAGTATAAATTTAATTATTTTATCATTAATATTAAATTTTATCATTAAATTTATTTATTATATAAATTTTATTAATATTTTAAATTATAATCTATACAACTAAAAAATAATAATTATGTTTTAAATTTGTTATCTTAGAATATTGATAATTTATATCCAATTTATCAATTCTACTTATTTAAATTTTATGTTTTATTTATATTTTTTAGATGATTTCTTATTTAAATCTTAGTCTTTAAAATAAAATTTTCATATCAAAGATTCTGCAAGGTATCATATTCCTTATTCTTGAAAATTTAAGTTTAAATCAAATAAAGTTTTAAACAAAAATATGTAGATATAAAACTTTGAATTTAAAAACTTAAAAATATACATTTTGCCAACATTTTCATTTAACTATTTTAAATAATTTCTTTTATAAAATTATACAATAATATGGATTTACTCTTTCTTTAACTATTCAATCGATTTAAATAAATTAGGGAAACATTAAATAAAGATAAAAGTTTAAAAATTGAAAAGCTGCCTCCAATTTAAGAATATTTAAAAATTAAAGATTAAGACTTCGATGTAAAAAAAATTGAATTTGATACTTTTTAATCATTAGTAAATTTTGTTTTCCTTAAAGAATTCAAATATTAAACTATGATTGTTTTTATTTTTTATATTTTGGAAAGCATTAGTAAAAATGCTGTTTCAATAATTATGAGTTTACTTATATCTAGTATATTAAACTAATCGAATAATTCAATATATTTTGGAGCTTTACTAATCTTAATTAGTTGTTTTGCTAATATTTGTCGACATAAAGCCATAACAAAAAGTATGGAATTTTCAGCAATTTCAAGATTTACATTGTTGAATATATTGTATTAAAAATTACTTAAAATAAAAACTTAAGCAATAGATACAGGAAAACTTATTGGACTTGCTACATCTGATATTAGTATGCTTGAATACTATTTTATGCTAATATTTTAAATATTTGTGATGCCAATTTCATTTATATTTGGATCTTTAATACTATATATTAGATTTGATGGAATAATTGGTCTTATACCTTTATTTATTATAATGTTAATATATCCATTATAAATTTTTATTTAAAAGCGATCAATTGAATATACTAAATTATATAAACAGGAACAAGATAAAAGAATAAAATTATAATCTGAATTTATAGATAATATAAAAGTAATAAAAATTTATGGTATTGAATCAAAATTAAATTAAAGAATTCTTGAATTTAGAAAAAGAGAGTAATAATACCTTTTCAAATCTTAAATGATTTAATTAATAGATAGAAGTTTGAATTTTTTTGCTTAAATATGGGCTTCAATGTTATTTATAGTTATTCTCTATTTATTCAATTATGAATTAAATAGTGCTTCATTAATAGCAACAATTCAATAATTGTAATATTTTAAGGTTAGTTGTGTCTAATAAGTATCATATGGAATTTAGAGCTATTTAAATATAAAAATGATATTCCAAAGATATATTGACATTTACAAAAACTTAAAAATGGATATAAGATAAACTTAAAAACATGAATCTGCTTAACTTATAAAATTAAATGATTTAAGTGTTGGTTGGAAATAAGAAAAACTTTTGAAGTAGATAAATTTTGAGATCAATCCGAAAGATTTTATACTTATAACAGGTAAAATAGGAAGTGGAAAGACATCCTTTTTATTAGCCTTGATTGATGATGGTCCTTTATATTTAGGTGGATTTAAATCAGAAAGGGAAAATTTAACTAAATCGTATGTAGAATAAGATCCAATATTATTTGAGGATAGCATTTAAAATAATATAACTTTTGGCAAAGTGTTTATTGAAGAATTATACTTAAAAGTAATAGAAGTTGTTTGCCTTAAAGAAGATATTGAAAAAATGTAGTAAAAAGACTAAACTATGATAAATGATCGAGTTACAACAATATCAGGGGGTTAAAAAACGAGAATTGCATTAGCAAGAGCCTTATATTCTTTATCAGACTTAATCATTTTGGATGATCCATTTAGTTCTTTAGATAAATAAGTTTAAATTTAGATATATTAAAATTTGAGAGAGTTTTTATTTAATTATCATTTTATATAGACTAATAAATATCCTGCTGTAGTTTTAACAACACATTCATAAACAATTATAAACTAATTTAGGATGTTTTATCTTTTAGAAGATGGATCTTTTTCTCAGTAATTTAATGAAAACTTTAATGATGTCGAAGAGATTAATTAACTTAAAATAGAATTTGTTGAATAAAAATAATCTATAAAGAAGGATTAAGAATCTTAAAAATAAGTGGAAAAAATAAAATAAAATAAATTCATTTATTACTTTAGTAATTGGACTAAAAATAAACTATTTAGCTTAATTTTAGTAGTTATTGTTATATTTATGAATTTTTTATCAGAAGCTTTATATAATTATTATTATTAAGGAATATCAGTAATAAAACCTGATAATTATGATAATCAAATTAAATAAATAATCATGATTTGTATTTTGGCATTTATTAATAATTATGTAAAATACATTTTAAATTCATTTGGATGTTTATCTGCTAATTCTCATATACATATAAATATGATATAATCAGTAAGTTAAGGAAAAATATCATATTTTGATTCAAAAGCAGGTAGCTCAGTTTTAACTAAATTCACAACAGATTTAAATTTAGCTGATAATATGATTCCAGTTACATTATTTGATTTTTGGGAATTAGGATCATATTTTTTAATATCTTTAATAAGTTTGGTAATTTTATAGACTCATTTTATTTATATAATGATTTTAACAATTATATTGAATTGGTAAGTTTTAGGTAGTTATAGAAATTTAATTTTAAAATCATAAGAATTAGATTAGTAAACAAAAGGACCCTTATTAGATCTTTTTAAAAAGACAATTACAGGTTTGAGAACAATAAATGTATTTGAGCAATAAAAATATTTTTTGTAATAGTTTAGAAATGCAACAAATAATGCAATTCTTTCTAATACTACTTATTATTATGCATAAAGATTATTTGGAATTAGTATAGATTTTTTAGGCCTTTTTGTGTAATAATGTGGAATAATAATGATTTTCTTATTTAATTAAAATGAGACATTTACATAAGCTTTATTATTGCTTATGATATTTAATGAAAATTAATAATGGTTTTTAAGATAATCTTTGTCATTTATAAATTAAATGAATTGTGTCGATAGAATGCAAGATTTAATAATAATAGATTAAGAAAAAAACTAATTAAAAAATTAGCCTGTATAATTATAAGGAAATATAAATTTTACCAATATTTATTTGAAATATAATTTTGATTATGCTTTAAATGGGTTAAATTTGAATATAAGATAAGGTGAAAAGGTAGGAATCATAGGTCGTACTGGAGCTGGTAAATCATCAATTATATCTATTTTATTTAAATTATATGATATAGAGAAAGCAGACAAATTTGATATAGATGGTTTTGATATTAGAGATTTATCACCTTTGGTTTTAAGAAGTAATATCAGTATCATACCATAATAGCCAATAATTTTTGATGATACCGTACGTTAAAATATTGATTTATTTAACTAACATAGTGAAGAAGAAATTATGAATGTTTTAAAAGATGTTAAATTATTTGATTATGTATAAGGACTACCAAATGGATTGAATTCTCATTTTTAAGGTTTATCTTAGGGTAATAAACAATTAATTTCCTTAAGTCGAGTTTTACTTTAGAATAGACCAATTATTATTATGGATGAAGCCACATCTAATCTTGATTAAGAAACAGATTTATTAGTTGAAGAAATATTATTAAAAAAATTAAAAAATAAAACTGTCATTACAATAGTTCATAAAACTTAAACTATAAAAAATTATGATAAAATTGTAATTCTTAATAATGGGAGAGTAGATAAAATAGGAACTCCATTGGAGATTCTTGATCATTTATGACCATTTAATAATATATCAATTTATTTTATTATTTTTCTGTTTAGATTTCTAAGAATATATTTTTTAATCATTAAATTATGGTATTTAATCAGAATTTTATGTTAAGAGTATAATCTTAGATAAGGATACACATAATTAAAATAAATATTGAGATCATTCTATTTAAATTTCTTAATTTCTGATTAAAACTTACATGCTAGTTTCAAAGGGATTAAATCAATATCAAATTATATTAATTAAAAAATTTTCTGATCTTAAAATGTCTTTTAATAAGAATTAAGAAGAAATAAAAGAACAAGTTATCAAAATTATTACTCTTGGTCCTTCTGGAGCAGGAAAGGTAATATAAATAATTATATTTAGACCTCACTATTAACTAGATTAACTAGAGACAATTTTAGTGAAAACTATATTGCTACAATAGGAGTTGATTTTGCAATAAAGAGACTTTTCATCAATAATTAACCAGTCAAATTACAAATTTGGGACACGGCTGGATAAGAAAGATTCAGAGCAGCTATTTCTAAATCATATTATAAAGGTGCTCATGGAATTTTTTTAGCTTTTGATATTACAAATGAAATGTCGTTTTCTGATATTTAAATTTGGTATGAAAGTAATTATTATAATTATTCAAAATAGAAACATTAGATGAAATAAAAAATATGAATCAAGATATTTAATTTCTTTTAATAGGATGTAAATGTGATTTAGAATCTTAAAGAAAAATTTCATATGATGTTGCCTTTTCTTTTGCACTTAGTTTAGGAATGCATTATATAGAAACCTCAGCAAAAATGAGTACTAATTGTCTAGAAGCAGCTGATTATTTGGGAAAACTTTGTTTAACAAAAATTAATGAAAAAAAGAATAATGATCCACCAGTTTTAGAAATTAAGCAAGAAGCAATTAAGAAGAGTTCTTGCTGCTGATTTTTTAAATCGAAACTTTAGTTTATAATAAAATTCATATTTTTTTAATTTATTTTGCTATTTCCATATAAAATCTATGTATATTATTTTTATAAATAAATATTAAATATTTAGTAATCAATTTAGTTACAGTTAAGATTTTTTTTTTGTTATCAAATAATGTTTTAATGGTGATAATGATCTTTTCTTCTAAGAATCTGTAATAGCTACTGCAAAACTATCTTTTTATGTAAATCCTTTTAAATCAGCATTTAATATGTATTCTAAAATAATTATATAATTAAGTTTACATAAATCACCCTTAATTTTAGATCGATGATTTCTTTTAATTAAATTAAGACCCAAAATTTCTTCTTTTATTTAATCCTCCATAGTTTAATTTGTATCCAAAATATCAGATATGTTATCATTTTATTTCAATACAGCTGTAAAATAGGTAATACATTTTACATAGTTTTACTTTAGCCTTTATTGGATTATTTAATTTAATGTTTCTTGTTTCTTTTAAATAATCTTTAAATGGGGTTAATGATTTATCAACATGTTTTGCAGATATTTCTCTTAAACTTTAACTTTATTTTAAGGCTACTTCTTCAAAACTATAATTCATCAAAAATTCTATTTAATTTAAATATAATACTTCTTTTTTCTTCATCTGTTGCTCTATGACTAAATTTAATTAATTAGATTCCAGTCTTTTAGTTTGTAGTTACTTAAAGATCCGGTTTTTGTCTTTACTTTCTCCTTTCCTGTTCAAGTAATTTTTATTCCTTTTCAAATGGTGGATAATATAATTCATTTAATTATTTATTTAATTAAACAATTTTTTTATGAGCACCTTTTATAAATTAATCAAATCTTTCATATTAAATTTAATCATCAGACTTTTATTTTAAACTTTCATCATAAGATTCTTTTTCTTTATTTTAGTCTCTCTCTTTTTCTTTTTAATAATCTCTTCCTGAATCTTTGACTTTTTAATTTAATTTTTTTATTTTCCCTTTAGGAGATAGATGAACAGACATTCTTATCTTTTTTTCAATACTTAAATTATCCTATTCAGAATCATTCTTTCGTAAAATTGAAGATAAAACTTAAAAATTAATATCAGCTTTTTTATCAACTTTTGAATTTTTAGGAAAAGGAGTGTTTGGAGGAGGATCTGGTTTAATTTAAAGTTGAGTTAAATATAATTTAGGTAATTCAGGATGTTCATGTGAATCATCAGAAAAATATAAATCTAATTAACTACCAGATTTTATTTTTTATTATAACATCATTTTATTATTAATTTATAATTGTTATTGATAAATTTGATATTTATTAGCTTCTTGATAATTATACAACATTTTTAACATATAATTATAAGTTTCTTTTATTTAATTTATTCTGTATAAAGAATTAAATTCTTTGAGATTCCATTTTAATCTTAATTCTAATGGTAATATGTATTCACCTTATAAATATGGAGAATCTCCTAAATTAGTAGATCCTAAATGTTTCGTTTTATATTTTATTAAAGATTATAGATCTTTAGTTTTTTATTAGACTAACAGTTCTTGAGATTTAATCTCATGGGTTTAATTATATTCTTAAAGTTCTTTCAATTTTAATATGGCACTTACTTAGGATGGTTTAAGTTGAAGATATTCTTTATCAATAATCAATTATTTTAAAGATTTAAGACATGTAACATCCCAAAATTTTAAAGCATTATCTTCTTTTCCAAAAGTTATTAAAAGTAAATGATCATAAAAATTAATAATTGAAGGATTGATAGAATTATGATCAATTTCTATTTTAGTTAAGATTACTTCTTCTGCTCCTTTGTAGTCAAGGAGAATCTCATCTGATGAATTGAATGAAACAATAATTTTAGTATTATCATCTTTATTTAAATAAGGATCTTTAATTCTTGAAAACTTTTCAACGATTTTTGATTATATATTAGATAATACAATTGGAGAAGAGTTTTAACATAAAAAGTATTAATAATGGAAGTCTTCATAAATATATACTTTGCTATAAGTATATTGATTTAAGTCTACTGGTTAAAGTTCATAATCTATTTTAATATTAGAAATGAATTATCCATTTCTTCTAATTAAAGTAGAATCTAAATCCAATATTAAACTTGCTTGATTACTTGAATCAATTATACTCTATCTTTCTAGAATAGAAATTCTATGTAATTCATCTAAAGAATTTTTTCTAATCATGTCTAAAATCTTTTTAACAGTTCTTTTAAATTTAACTAATCCAGTACCTTTCACTTCTAGAAAATTACATTCTTCATTTTTTGATTTGAGTTCTTTAATTTGTTAAAGAACTGAAAAATCTTTTTTAATATCATCATTATATTTAAACTAATTATTAGCTTCTTGTTATTTGAAAAATTAGATATTTTTATATTTGAAATGATTTGGAACATAAATTTCTAAGATTTTATCTAAAGACTCATAATTGAGATATAAAATATTGGATATAGAATCTGTTTTAATAAAATATTTAGGTTAAAATAGTGTATAATCTTAATGAGAATAAAAAACAATTCTTTTTTAATGAATAATAGCTAAACATCTATAATCATTAAATAAAAAGAAATCAGCAATTTCATCTTCAGTTGTAACTGATGATGTTGTTTTCATAGTACTATATTAAATAAAGTTAAGAATATTATTCTTCATTAGAACTCCAATAATATCTCTTTCACAACAATTAATAATTTTTTGAATATGTCCTCTAGCATCCATTTCTCTTATCTTTGTAAAATGTAATTATTTTGATATATATTAACTTTAAAAGATTCTTAAAATACTTTTATTCCAACAAGAAAGTTAAGAATAAAGATAATGAAAATGGCAACCTTCAATTTATTTATTTTCAAATAATGGATATTCAAGAAAATCTTTCTTTCCTTTTTGATTATTTCTAAATCTATCTTTAATTATATGCAAAATTGCATCATTAGTAATGACAATGGTAACATCCCAATGTGTAAAAAAGAATAGAATTTCTGTTCCAGTCTCTACTTTCTCTTATTCATTAACCATTTCCACTTTTTCTTCTATATATGCATTATTCCAATTAAATCCTATTAATTCATTATTTGAACTCACATATACTCTTTAACTAAAACATTACATTAATCTTGGTTTAAATCTAACTTTAACTTTTCTTGGTTGACTACGTGGAAATTATAATACTTTAAGTCTTTAAGTTGTAACTATAAATCTACCTTAATTAATTTTTAAAATCTAACTAATTGTATTAATTATTTCACATTCAAGATTGAATCTATAAATTATTTCCCATGATTCAATATCCCAACATCTCATTATACCTTTATTATCTAAACTTACCAACATTCCATATTCATCAAATGCTTCAATAGCTGATACTGTATTATTTTCTATACGTTAATTTTCTATCTATTCTCTTATCGTTAATTTATGAAATTAATTATAATTCTCATTTCCTTCATCAAATTTCCATAATAATACATCATCATTAAAACCTACAGTAAATAGAACATCCAATTTAGGTGAATAAGTTATTGTATGAACAGATGACCCTTTATTTGGTAATTTTATATCTGAAAAAGCATGCCATTTTATAGGATTCCAAACATGAATTCTTTTTTCAACTGTTTTAAAGACTTTATCATTATTATCACTCTTTTTTTAAATTTCTTCAGTTGTACAAATAAATAGTTAATTTAATAAAGATATCTCTTTTATATAATTTATTTGAGATCCCTTATAAGGAAGTAACACTGCACTTCCTACTGATGAATTTGCAAATGATATTGCTTTGCTATCATTTGATTCTATTAATTATGTAAAGGACCATTAATATATTTAATTTTCTCTATTTATTGTTATCCATGCCTTTATAGATTCCAAATAACTATAAATATTAAACTTGTTTTTACGCTATTTAAACTTGAAGTCCATACTTTTCTGTTGAAAATGAATATTCTTGTTAAAATTTATTTGTCAATGTCCAAAATGATATTGTTTTATCTTAACAACATGCACCTAGTATTTTTGGTGAATCAGCAAAAAATATATCTAAAATATTTATTGTTTTTTAAGAGATTGTTTTTGAAAGTGATCCTAAAAAATTAGTCTTATGTTTTATTGATGTGCATTATATAATCTTTTTTATTTCAATTGTTTCAGCATCAAATATCTATATATTATCACTCATTTAATCTAAACTAAATATTGAATCCTAACAATAAAAAACTTTCTTTATTGGATTCTAATGATGAGTAATATCTTAATTTTTTGAAAATCTAAATCCATAATCATCTTTTTCAAATTCTTAAAAATGCTTTAAAAACGCTCGTTAATCATTAGTATATGGTAAGAATGATTCAGGCATTTCTTTAGCTTCAGATTCACAAATAATATAAAAACTTAGAAATGTTGAAAAGTTTACCTACAATCTTTAATTACATTACCTTATGTATTTGATTCAACCAACAAATTTAATCATATAATATTCTAGTTCCATTAATTAAAAATGGTAAATGAGAAGGCGGAAAATCTAAGACTCTTGCTAACATTAAAATAAACTCTTCTTAATTTAGATCATGTTAAAATTCTTCAGGTAATCGTTCTATCTAATCTTTTAGTAATAATTTAGGAATTTCTCGATAGTGATACAAATCAATCAAATAATCTGTTTAACTATTTAGCACATCTATTTTATTTGCCGTTTAAAATAATTGCCATTAACTAGGTAAAGGTAATGAACTGAATAAGTATTGTAATTTTGGATTTTTGTATTGTTATAGGATTTCAATGTAATTATCAAGCATAATTATAATATTTATTCAATATTTTAAATTTTGTAATATTAAGAAAGAATTACAACATAGAATAGAAAGAAATTAGATCATCTTCAAATTATTATTATACGTATATGATGTCTGCTTATGTGAACAAAAGTTATCCAAACATTATTCTAACTTATTAAATGTGTAACTGCATAATAAATTAATCAAGTGCCTATATAGGTTCTATATTAATGAGTTATTAATGAGTTTCATGAATTAAAATATTATTGATTACATCAACTCTTTCGGTCAAACCTTGTGTATTCAACCAATAAACAATGAAATGATATCATTGAGTCAGCTAAAAGCGAAGAATTTTTTAGTTACGACTGCTTCAAAGCATTATAAAGTACCTGAAATAGAAGAACCTAAACCAAAAAAAAAATATTAGAATTTAGCAAAAATTCAATTCAAGTTCCAAATAGAAGAAGAAGATTATCACTCTGTTTTAAAGGAGATTGTTCATTTGTAAAAAAATAAATCACATCTATTGCCTTTACATTTGCATTCTAAACCAAGTAAACTTATATGTTTTAAATAAGACCCATCTTGGCAAGGCTTGTCGATAGGTAAATTTACAAACGAATAGGATTTCTAAAGACCTATGACATTAGAGGAATGTAGAAATACAATAAAAACTTAGAAGATGAGTAGAGACACTCACAGAGATTCAAGCCAACCTATTTTAGAAGAATTCAATAAATAACTTTCTTCCACAAAAATAAAGGATAATTAAACAGCAAAAGTATTTACTGATAGAAGTAAGTCAAGTAAGTTACATATGGGATCAACTTTATAACCTTTTACTAATTAAACTTAATAATTTGAAGTTGTATTTGACAATAATTAACAGATTTCTCAAGCTAAAAAGAAAATCACATAGAAATAGTTTAATCTTTACAAAAACAGGAAAATAGCAACTCCAAACCTTGCTTTATAATTCAAATAAATAAAAGAAAAGGAATAAGAAAAGGAAAAAAAGCTTCTATAAGATAGAAGGAAAGAATTTGATAGAGAATATTTCGAAAAATTACCTTGAATATATTCATAAACAATAAAATTATATTTTATGTAATAAAGAGAATAAAGATAGTCTTAAAGAGCATTTTCATCTAATTCTCCTACAATGTGTAGTACTTATGCATCAGCAATGAAGAATATGTAGGATAAATTAAGAAATAATACATATAGAAAATCAGTTGATTTATCACCTTAAGATATAATAAATGAATAACTTAAACAATAAGTGAGTGAATTATCAAGTGAAAATGATCGTCTTTAAATGTAATTGATGAAAGTTTCTTAGGAAATAGAAATGAACAATAGAGCTTCTTAATAAATAGAGTTGTTATAAGTTGAAAGATTATAACATTTAAAAGATTATTAAGACAGAGTGTCTGAATTGATAAGAAAGAATGAAGAACTTAAACATGATAAACATGAAATTCAAATGTAATTCGAAAGTCTTTAGAGATAATTATAAGCTTATAAGAATAATGAGAAAGGGTTGTTACATAAAGTTGAAATGAAGAAGTTTGAAGAAAATACAATACTATTAAATACTATCTCTGAATATAAGCAAAAAATAGATATTAAGGATAATGTTATAAAGAAATTGGAAAAAAAGGTGGAATTCTTGGATATGGAGAAATAAAGGTTAGATTAAGAATTCGAAAATTATAAATAAAAGCATCCATCATTTAGAATACATGAATTTGAAAAATAAATATCGAATCTAAAATATTAATTAGATGAGAAAGATAGAGTTTACTTAAAAAATATTGATGAAGCTCAATCAAATAGAATATGTAGAGAAGAATAAATGTCTAAAAGAATATAAGAATTGATATTAAAGAGTACCGAATATCAAGACATAATTTAAAAATTGACTATGGATTATAAGGATTTAAACGTTAAATATTAAACAATCAAAATTAAATTAGAATAGGAGGAGAAAACTCATAAATATTTAAAAAGAAGAATATCTAGATAAGAAGAAACTGAATTTAATTAAGGATACCGAGAATAGAGAACAATTAGTAAATTAAATTTAGATTAAATTTCCCCAACTCTTCCAAGTCCTAGAGCTGAATAAAGTTTAAGATAGAGTTAATTAAAATAAGCAATAAGGGATTGCTTAGAAGATATGAAGAATCCAACAAATAGTCCTGATAAGAAGATTGAACCCAGAAAAAGATTAATATCACCTTTATCACCTTAACAGCATTCGGAAATTGAGGCAAAGTTAAAAACATTAAATGATAAATATGAAAATTTAATTCGCTAAGCACAAAATGAAAATGATTTTAAAAATAAAGCGGTTATCAGAAAGTAATTGTTAGAGATTGCTGAATAAATAAAAGAAGTCACTAAATTTGAAAAAATAATTTGAATAAATAAATGATTAATATTTTGTTGAAACTTGTCTTACTAATTTTAATTTTTCTAATAATTTTTATATATTGTTGGTAAAAGATTGAAATTAAAAATAATAAAAATAAATTCATTATTATGTTTATAATATAAATTTTATATATTTTCTATCTGGCATTCTGCTAAGAGGAAGAGAATCAAAATTAATATTTATCATTAGGAATTACTGTACAAGGGTAATAATATTAAAAAATAAAAATTTTAGATTTGTTTCGCCAAAAACATAAAATCATCATGTTTATTTATTTATTGTACCTGAGATAAAAAAGGGCACAGATTTAATAGTTTTACTTAAAACATTAAATCCTAATTCAGATCCAAACTTATATATCTCAAAAATTGTATAAGAACCATTATCAGCAAAAGATGCTGATATTAAAGCATGTGAAGCCAATGGAACGGGTAAAATTTATGAATATAAAAAGACATCTGTGTTATAAATAGTCGATTGATATAATAAGATGATCTTCTTTATATTTCAGTAGTATCTCGTTCTCCTAGCAGTTACTCATTAAGAATAGAATTAGATGTGGAATAAATTTTATTGGTAGATAGTTTTTTATCATTTAAATTAAATAATGAAAAATAAACATAAATCATAGATTTTGAACTAAAGGAATTATCTAAAGAATAAACATAAATTGAACTAAATTTTTAAGCGTTGAATTAAGATTATTTAGAAGAACCTTTTCAAGTTTTTATGAATAAATATGAGAATGGACCTCCTAGCAACAATGATTATGATTATAAAGCCATAGACACATGGTAAAATTCAAAAGTCATTGAATTCAATTAAACTAAAGCTTTTGAAAAATATATAATTTTAATCTAAGGAGAATAAGGGGCATTATTTAGAGTAACTGCCACTAGAAGTCAAGCTTTGAAAACTTTGAATTATTATGAAAATATCATATAAGTAGTTGATAAAGGAGAGTATGATTTCTATTTTATAGAAAATTCTGAATGTGATATTGTAAATATATAATTAATTTATTTTATTAGGGTATTCGATTAACTCCATTTAAAGGTTATGCTAAATTGTTTGTTCATTATAATACTCAACCACCTTTATTAGAAAATTATGAATGGCAAGATGATAAACAGGAAGGATTTATATATATTTCTAAATAAGAACTAATGAATAAAAATTTAACCATAAATGGTTTATACATTACTGTTATGGGTCAAGATTTATGCACTTATCAATTATCATCTACTTGTGAATTCAAAATGTATATTTAATCTGGTGTTACTTATTATAAAGATCTAGAAAAATCTGAAAGAATGAACCTTTGGATACTTGATAACCAATACGTTAATACTTAAATATTACTCAATTTGCATACTATCAAAGGAATCATAAATTTTCTTATTACAAATTGTGATAATATCTCTATGTGTCCTTTGAGTCCAGAATTATTTACTGAATAAGAAAAATATGAATAAATCACCGATTATATTATGCTATATTCTAATTACAAATAAGAAGTATAGTATATATTAGATTGCAAAGACTCATGTAATTTCTATCTCATCGCTTATATTGATTCAAATAGTAAATAAGATGGAAGATTTTCTGTATAATATCAAATTAATGAAAAGATAATGGATTTAATTTAAAATACACCTCATAAATCAATAGTAATCAAAGATTCATATAAATTCTATAAATTTCTTGTGGCTGACAAAGATTAGTTATAAATTTTGAATTTTTTGGTTACATCAATACAAGGAGATGTAACAATGTATTTATCGACTAAATATCAAAAACCAAATAAGGAAAATTATGAATTTAAATCTCAAAATAATTCAATAAATTTTGGAGGTAGACATAGTATCTAACCCTAATCTGGAACTTATTACTTATCAATTTATGGAGAATCCTATTCAAAATATATGATAACAGTTTAGACAATCAAGATTTAGGAAGACCTCAATTAACTTGGTAAATATCCTTGGCATTATATTCAATTGTATCAAGGAGATCCTCAAGAATATTATTTACAAAATGATGAATTTGTTTTGTATAAGATAGCTTTGTAGGGTTATAATCAAGCATAAAAAGATTCAATCAATGTTATTTTATAAAAATCATATGGATAATTATAAATGTTTGGATTTGATCATCCTGAAACAAATGAAACCAAAGCAAGATGGTAGAGTGGATAAATCATCACTATTTCTATGAATGATCTTAATTATCCAGAAATTTTATATTTGAAAATAAGATTATCTGAAGTAGAGAACAATTATGCTAGTTTTAGAATTGCCTATTATAATTCTGATTAAATTATTGACTTAATGTTAGATGAACCATTTTTTAGTTTTTTGTCTGCAAATTAGTATTAAGGCTTTAGATATGAATATCAATAAAAAGAGAAATTTGCAATCTCCAAAAGTTCTTATGAATTCGATCAGACTTCCTTACCTATTCATTTCCAAAGTTCATATAATTTAGATGTGCGATTTTCACAAAATAATAACACCTTTATAGTGTAATAAAATCAAGATATTTATTGTTCATAAGAGACGAAAATTTGTTCTGCATATTTTTATTTTAGTATTGGTAGTAATTTCGATTAGTTTTATTCAATATTAATCTCAAGATTAGATTAATCTTAAATTTAGCTTAAAGAAGATCAGCCAATTTTAAAAGCTTTGCCAACAAAAACAGGAGAGGATTTCTTTTATCTTTATTCTTATGGTTAGGAAGTAAATGTGTTAGCATACACTTATTATAGTGAATTGACCATATATGCTTCAATAGTTTAAAGTTTAGATTCGCCATATCCTAATGATAAAAATTATGATTAGATTTCAAAAAAGCAAAAAATTCGTTCTTAGGCTACAATTTACTTTTCTTAAAAATACCTATAAAATAAAAATTGTGTTGATAAATGCATTATAAAATTAACAGTTTTAGTCACTGATTAGTTTATCACCTATACTAATGGCTATCTAAATGATTACACTATATAGTTTAACTCAAAGTTGATCCTACTTAGAGAGTCTGAAATCTAAGAAGGATTTTTAAATACCGATGAATTTAAATACTATAAAATTCATGTTTCTAAAAATGATACAAATCTCATGATTATGCTTAATCCAGATTCCAATTGTGATGCTGATCTTTTAATTTCAAAATCTTAATATCCAAATCTTGGTGAATATGATTGGGGATCTTTTGATTATTAAAGTGATGCAATAATCATCGAACCTGGAAACAGTCTTCACCCTGATTTACCTGGTGACTATTTGTATTAACTTTATTTAATATCATTAGTGTTGGAGTACATGGTTTTTAGGAATGTTAATTTGTTATTTAATACAATCTTGATAAATATGAGGCTTATGATATCTTCCAAAATTAACCATTTAAATTGTAACAATCTTAAAATACATTAGTTATGTTCAGAAAGATTACACCTTATATTTAAGATTAAACCCTTATTAAGAAACTCCAGCTTTTATGATCTTTGTTTAATCACTTTCTGAAACAGCATACTTTTATGTAGACGAATTAGATATTGCTTCAGCGAGATTCAATACATTAAAGAAAAATGTAGCTGAGTTCAAATATAACAATTCTTAGTAGGGTTATTAAAAGCATTTTAAAACTGATCCTTTAAAATAAGACTAAGTCTTAATTATAGCACTTAGAACTTATACTTCAGAGGTTGTTACAATACAAGTTAGTAGTAATGAGAATGAAATCTATTTGGAATCATAAACCCTTTTCTAATATTTCCTAGAATAAAATTAAAGTGTTACATTTATTATAAATCCATATTTTGATAGTAATATTACTTAACTTTAGATTCATTTGTATAGTGGTTCAATTTCTTGCGATTACACTTATGATAAATATTATGAAAATGAAGATTATAGTACTTTACATTTAATAGATATTCATGGGGAAAATTATGAAAATTATTACAATATTAGTAATAAAAAAGATTATCCTATAAAAATAAATTTCGAAGCCATTTATAACTCTCATTTTAGCATTTAATATTTTAATGAAAATGAGGAAAATAATTACATTTAGTAAATATTTAACTTAAGCCTAGTTCAATATATCCCTAGCATGTATTACTATAATCCTATGCTGAAAAAGTATTATGGTTTATAAATGATGAATTTTCTAAAATGTCAAGTAATCTGACAACATTTTCAATATCAATTTAGATTTAAGAAGATATGAATCCTTTACTCTCTAATCAAAAACATAGATCTTTACCAATTTTAAAAGTCTATAGCAATACTTCACAACTTTAAATATAACCTATTTAATAAACAATACTATCTAATTTGATTTACAATGAATATATTTAGATAGATAATTAATATAAAATCGTCTTGTAAAATTAACAGTAATTTGAGCAATACTATTAAATTTCGGTTGGAACTTCAGATCTAAGACTTTTGTTACCAAAATTAAAATAAATTGGAACAAATAAATTTCATTAAAATACATACTGGGCTTTTTCACCTACAAATAGATACATCTTTTATGAAATGTAATTTTGTAATGGAATCTTTTCTGTTTTTACTGGAAGCTACTATGAATCCTTATTAAATGGTGAATATGATTAAAAAATAGATATTAGATAAAAATAGGTATTTGGATTTTTAGAATAAAAATCATTTTATGATATGATATTTTTTTAATTTAGTTTTATTAAGTAAATCAATAACAAGATACCTTTTGCCTAATATACGATTAGAGTTTATCAAGTAGATGATTAAAATGATATACCTTATGATGTTTTCTTCCCAGGATCTCAGGGCTTTTTAACTTCTAATATTATAGACGATAATGATGATAATATATCTCTCTTTATTGAATTTAGCCCTTTATTATAGAGTAAAAAGGATGATTAAGAAAAATTTGAAGTGAAATAAATAGAATATTTTGTAATTTTACAAGAAGGAAGTGAAAATGATGATGCAGAGATTAATTATTGTTCAGAACCATTCAATTAAGATAGAATTGTTCAAAATTTAAATGATAATGATACATCATTAGTTTTCAATATAACTTTTCCGAAATTTAAATGGCAAAAACAGAGAAATTTTGTTTTTACTATTTTAGCTACTGGTAATTTATGTAATTTTAAAATTAGTGGATGTTAATTTATTTAGGGATGATTAGAGGATCTCTTTAGATTATTATTATGAACCATAACGTATTAGATGGAATTCCAAATAAATAATGTTATAAGAGTAGGATTCATTTAATTATTAATTGATAGGAGTTTGCATAGCAATAATTCTTTTGATATTCATTATAGTTGGATTTTTGAGGATAAAAAAAAAATTGATGATGTAATTATAAAAGTTATAATAAGTTCAAAATATGAGAGTAATGAGATAAGATTATAACAGACAGAGGGAGTAGAAATGCATTATAATGGTTTAAATCAATGATTTTTGATTTAGTAATAAAATTTTTTTTTATTAATTGATGTCCATTTTTAATCTTGTAATTATTAATAATTTTAAATTAGATTTGAATTTTTTTTCTGATTGGCAAAATGATCTTTGATTTAATAATTTTCTCATATGAATTAAATCAACAATCAACCTATGAGCTTAATCCAATATAGGTGCTATGGTCAGCATTAGAAGTTGATTTAACAGAGTATGAACAAGTTTTATCTTCTCCTCTTGTGACTGCACAGACAGTATGAGTTCCATCATGATACCAAATTTCTCTATCTTGATGATAGAATCCCATAGCATATAATGGAATCTGTTAAAAAATAGATACATTTTTAATACATGAGGAACAGTGTCGTTTTAGTTTACAACTCTGAAATGAGTAATTTTAGTATATTTGGTAAACCAATCATAGAAATCTGGATCTCCTACTCTTGGCGAACCATAAGTGAATAATTGAACTGTTTTTCCTGATTCAGCCAATTATAAGGCATAAAATGTTCCCATTGCACCACCTAAGCTATGTCCAGTAACATGGATAGAAGCATATGGATATTTAGTAACATATCCTGGGAATAAATTATCAATCTTTGGTTTAAGAGACAAAAAAGCATCATAGAATCCTGTATGTACTCTGCATTTGCAGGCTAAATTATATGCAATTTTTCCAAAAGAAACATCTTCAATCCAATTTTAAATATTAGACGATCCTCTAAAAACAACTACAATAGCTGATTCTTTTTTGTTATAGGCAATATATCCTTTTGTTCCCTAAAAATTAAATCAAAATGTTTACCTAAATTAGATTCTCAAAAACTTCAATGTTTGTCAGATCTGGATACTAATTACTCACATAACCAACAGACCAGTTATTAATTGCTGCATTTGGACAATAAGCAGCAAAAGATAATGCTGCATTTTCTTTTGCAATTGCTTCATTGTATGTGAAAGCTGATGCTGTAGCTACAAGAATAAGCAACAGAATTTTCGATGATGTCATTTTAATTTAGAATATTAATTATTCTTATTATGAAGACCTCTGTGTCATTATATACCGTCATTTCTAAATGATATGCATTAAATTTAATTAATTTATAAAATCATGATTTAATCACTTTATTCCATTTTATTATACTATTCAAGTTCATGTAATCTTAATGAAGTTATGATGATTTATTAATTATTTTAATCTCGACTCAATTCAATCATTTACTTAAAAATCTTTTCGAATGTCATGTTTATTTAGAAGAATTTTAATTAATTTCTAAAAATCCCTAGAATAAATATTCATTCAAAACTTTATAAGATTCCAAAAACTAGAAATATATAAGTTTTTATGAACCCTCTTCTATATATATGTATTTTTTTTTGGAAAGGCAAAAAAAATGGTTCTAAATTTTGAAAACGTGGAATTTTATAAAATCTAATTAAACCACAAATATATTATTTTTTATGTATTAAAAATTTAAATAAGAAAAATCTATAGAAATTTAATAATGATAGTTATATTGGCATTTCATAGTGGTCTTAGATTATTATATACCATCTTATTGTTTCTTTGAGTCAATTTCGATCAGATTAATGAATTTTTTATTATTATGTAAATAACAAAATAAACAATATATAATGAAATAAAAAAATGAATCCTAATAATTTTGTTGTATATAATTTTTTGATCATAAATCTTTAATATTTGTAAGATATTCTACTCCAGGTAGAATCTTTCCTTCTAATAATTCTAAAGAAGCACCACCACCAGTAGAAACATGACTAAGTTTGTCATTAGCCTTATTAGCGCCAACAAGGTTGACAGTATCACCTCCACCTACAATAGTTGTTGCTCCACTTTATGTTTATTTTACTAAGGCATTCAACATACTAACAGATCCATTTTTGAATTATTCAATTTCAAATGCACCTTAAGGTCCATTCCAAACAACTATAATAATAAATTTAATTTAAACTTGTTTTAGCTCTGGCTATAGCTTCAGTATTTTCTTTTTATGTCAATTATCCAGCATCTAATCCTAACCATCCATCTGGAATTCCTGATTTAAGGTCATGTAGAGCAACTGGACTTGAGGCATCTAATCCAGTACCACAAACAAAATCAGTTGGGAGATGGATTTTAACATTCTTTTCTTTAGCCTTTGCAAGAATTTCATCAACTATTTTATATCCTTCTTCATCAAAGAGTGATTTTCCAATAGGAACATTGTGTATTTTTTTTAGGAATGTAAAAGCCATACCTCCACCAATAATCATTTCATCTACTTTATCAAGCATAGATTTAATCAATTATATTTTATCAGCAACTTTTGCACCTCCTAATATAACTAAGAATGGTCTTTATGGTGTTTCTAAGGCCTTAGCAAAATAATCTAGTTCCTTCTTCATCAAATAACCAGCAACTCTCACTTTATGATCTATTCCAACCATTGATGAGTGAGCTCTATGTGCTGTCCCAAATGCATCATTAACATAAATATCACCTAATGATGATAATTCTTTTCTAAATTTCTTAACACTTTCTTTATCTGCCTTAATCTTGGCTCCATTTGCATCTAGTCCTTTTCCTTCTTCTTAAATATGGAATCTAAGATTTTCTAATAAATTGATCTATCCATTTCCAGCATTTGAAGCTTCTGCTGCCTCTGAACCTACGCAATCGTTCACAAAGTTAACCTTGGTACCTAACAATTCCTCCAATTTTGGAACCACAATTTTAAGTGAATCCTTTTCTACTCTATATTTAATTTTATTTATAATTACCTTTTTCCATCTGGTCTACCCATATGAGACATTAAAGTCACATTCTTAGGATTCTATTCTAAAATCTTTTTTATTGTTGGAATAGCTCCTTAAATTCTTGTTGCATTCTTCACTTTTCCTTCTTTAATTGGTACATTGAAATCTACTCTTATTAAAACTCTCTTGTTTGAGAATTAACGTAACACATGATCTATTCCAGCCTTAGAACTTAACATTTATTTCAATAAATATATTTATCTTAAAAGATATTTGACTCTTCTGTTTATAAATTAATTATGATAACATTATTATTTCTACAAGTGGTGCTTTCACAGAAAATATTGGATTCACCTCTTGAACAAGTTGTATGGTGCAAATCAGAAACTTTTATATTGAGTGCTAAGGGTATGGTGTACAAAAATTACACATCTGAAATGTCAAAGTTAACATCTAATGTAAATCTTGATTATTCATCTTAGTTAACAATTAGAGAAATCTTATAATCAGAAGCGGATCCTTAAGTGCTTTATCTAATAGGTGATTTTGATACATCATATGTGACTCAGAATTGTGGAAAAACGTATTAAAAATTTAAGCACGAAAAGACTCTGCATGATTATAGGTTAAATCCATTAGAGGCCCATAGTTTGATGGCATTTAAGGAATTTAGATGCAATGTTACGAATGGGAATTTGTGTAAAGAGAAATATAAGAAATAGTATGATGATTTATATTATATTCTAGATTGTATGTAAGTAATGATTATGGAAGTAATTGGAGATTGGTGTTGAATAGAACAAAGGATGCAATATGGGATAAGTTGATTGAATTACCGGAAGTGCCTGATTCAAGAATAGTAGCTTCTTATCTAAATGATTAAGGCCACGTATAGGTTAGTTATAGCGATGATTATTTTAAAACAATGATGCTTTTGAGGAATAATTCCTATGGGTTTTATTAGACAAAAGAATACTTGTTTATTTTGATTGATGCTGATCCTTTTAGTAAAGGATATGATTTGGAGGTGATAAAGTAAGGAAGTCTAAATCCGGTAGAATTGGTATTGCCAATAGAAGATCATTAGAAATACACATTTACAGTATTGGATACTGTGAATGGTTCTATTTTTATATCAATATCTCATTTGGAAGACATGCCAAAGATAATGAATATATATTAGAGTGATACAAGTGGAACAAAATATACATTATCATTGTTGAATAATGTAAGAAGTTTGGATACTGGAAATTGTGATTTTGAATTCATAATGAGGGGAATATACATAGCCAATATATATGATAATGATGAATTTGAGAAGTTTAAGATGAGGAGATCATCAAAAAGTACGGATGGTATAAAAAGATTAGAAAATTATAAATAAAGCAGAATAACTTTTGAATAAGGAGGAGAGTGGCATTCTATAAAAGCACCAAAATATGATTATAAAGGATAAGCTATATAATGCAATGGGGATTGTTCACTGCATTTGTTAGGAAGAAGTGAAGCCCCTAGAAATAGAATAGTTAGTCATTCTTACATAACAATAGGGACTGGGAATACTGGAATTTATTTAGGAAATGAATATAAGACTTATTTAAGTAGGGATGGTGGACATACATGGTTTGAAATATTGGATGGTATGCATATTTATGATATTGCTGAAAATACAGGATTGATAGTATTTGTAAGTGATGAAGAATAAGCAAATGAGATATTGTATACTTGGGATGAAGGTTTAACATTTCAGAAGATTAAGATGAATGTGACAATGGATATATCAAATGTAATATATAAGAATGGTAAATTTTTATTTCATGGCATCTCTGATAGTAAGACTCTCGGAGTTGCTAAAGAGGATGATTTTACTTAAAGTGCATTAAAGGGGATAATTGTTTCACTTGATATTAATTAGATAATGGTTAGAGAATGTTAAGGATTTGATAGAGCAGGAGAATAAGATTCTGATTATGAATTCTGGTATCCAACTAATTATGCAGGAGACAAATGTTTATTTGGAAGAAGAGAAAAGTATATCAGAAGAAAATAGAGAGCTTAATGTTATAATAATTAAGCTAATCTTCCAGTTTAAACAGAGAATTGTCCATGCACTAAGGCTGATTGGGAATGTGATGTTGGATTCAAAAGAGATGTATATTCTAACTGTATTCCTATGAAAGAGATTAGACCTAAATAATGTAAAGGAACTTATATGAAAAGTTAAGGATATAGAAAAATATCAGGAGATCAATGTTAAGATGGGTATCTTATTATATTATTTCAAGGGTATACTTAGGACCAATTGAAGTGGATTGTTAATAGGAAGAATTATCTATCATTCCAGATACAAATTAAAAAGACTTAAACAATTAAGTTGATAATGATTAACAATAATAAGGATCTGTCACAACCAAAAAAGTTTAGATTACTTAAAAGAAAACAAGTGGAGGGGGAATTAAATTCTCTTATTTGGCATTTGGAATTATCCTACTCTTCTTAGCATTCTTTGCTAAAAAGAAGTATTTGGATTCTGGAAAAACAAAAAAGAGATCTCCAGCTCATTACTATCCTAGTCGATAATAAGAAAAATAAAGTTTATTTACAGAACTATGATGATGTACATATTTACCTATATATTGTTAACATTCTATTTGCAAATATTCTTTTTCCTATACTTTACCGAATTTATATAAAAATTAACTTACACTAATATGTCAACTTCTCCTTTGATTAGAGTCTAGACTTCTGCTTTTATTAATGGCTCTGCTTTAAGAATTAAGTATAAATCATCTTAAACATTAAACTAAAATGATCAAATTAGTCCTCTCAAATCAACTGAACAATCGCCATCTAAGATAATTAACATTTATGCAGATAGTGCCATTTATAATATTGGTACCACATCATCTAACAATAAAAATTAATAAATCTCTTTAAAAGATTAGATTCTTAAAACTTGTGTCTATAGTTAAATGGACCCTGAGTAAGTTGAACAAGTAAATTGGTAAACATAAAAAAGAACCAAAGATCAAATAGAAAGAACGAAAAATGATACCAAACAAAAAGAATTCTATGAAGCCAAAAAGTCTCCTATTAAGAGTGCATTAAAAAAACAATTCATTGATTCTTCTTTGACTTAATCATAATAAATTGATATTTCAAAAAGTTCATAAAATTTTAGAAGAAAATCCATTGATGAGCAATCTGAATCAACTAATTAGCCTATTATTAAAAAAAAATAAGTGAATTAATTGAATCAATCATTTCATTTTTAATTTTAAAATAAGAAATAACAACTACTTAGTGATATTGCTAAATTAGACAAATAAATAGTTTTAGAACAGGAACGTATACCTGTTTAGATTGGTTCACCAAGAAATTAAAAATAATAAAAAAATGTTGTAAATAAGGCATCTTATGATAAACGATAGTCTGTAAAATAAATTGAGGAGTCTTAAAAAAATATCACTTAAAAGAAATCTAAATAAATAATTATAAGTAGTAGCAGAAATCTAAATACCTCATAAAATTCTAAAATTTCACCTCAAGGTTCTCCTAAATAAGTTAGACAAAAGCGCTCTAAGAGATCATAGTCTTAAGAAATTTAGGAGAGTGTTGATCCTTTAAAGATTTCAAGAGAAGATTTAAATTGTATCAAATGCATAATTATATAATAATAGAGAGATTGCAAAGAATGAATGAGAAATATAATTAGATATTGGAGTAATCGAATAAATTTAGAACCCATTTTTAACAAATCTGAATATAATTAATAATTTATATGGATATCGATGATTTATTAGAGGAAATATCTCTTAATAATGACACAAAACCTTAGAGCACTAGAGAAAGGAACAGAAGGTCCTTTTTGGATCCACCGTAAAAGAATTTATTTAATGAAGGAAATTGGAGACACAAAAAATTTCAAACGATCCATATGAATTTGATAGTATTCTAAAATCTCAAGATTCTCCAGTCGATAGACAATCTTCTTTTGTTCCTCGATAAAGACCTTAAACTGCACTTATAGATGAATCAAAAAAACAAAAAATGGCTGACCTCTTCTAACTACCAAAACCTATTATAAATAAAGATTTGCCACCTCCACCTCCATAGATTGAAGATAATAGTAATAATATGGAAATGTCAATGGGAAGTAGAAGATAAAAAATGAGAATGCTATCATAAAATAAGGGTCAACCCTAGAAAAGTGATATTAATTCAAGTTAAGATCCAATAGCAAATAATACATAACAGATAGAAGTAGAAAAACAATCAGTTTAATCTGATTACTCTATGAAATAAAGCAAATAACCAGAAATATAACTTAATGTTCCTGTGAATATAAATACTCAAAAGTTTCAAGATGAAATAAAACAGCTTAAATTAGAAAAAGACAAATTATAAGATGAAATATAGGCTGTGAAAAATGAAAAATTAAAATTATCTGATGAATTAGCAATTGAAAAAAATGAGAGACAAAGATTAATGAATGAAAAATTGGAAGCAGAGAGAAATTTCAATAAAGAAAAAGAATAATTGAAATCTAATTATGATAAAGATAAATAAAGAGCTATAGATGCTATGAAGTTAGAAGTAACTATTTTGAGTTTATATCTTATAGAATGAAATAATGAGACAGTAATTAGGAGAATAGAAATAATTGGATCATCTAGCAGATAAGATAAAGGATAGTGCAAAAGAATTGGAGACACTTAAGAATCAATTATATTAAAAGCATGAATCATAGACTTAAGAAAAGATGAGATTATTGGAAAAGAAACAAAATGATATTAATGACAAGGAAATGTATTTGGAAAAAGAAAAATCTTATATCGAAAATGAAAAGAAAAGACTTTAAAATATTTAAGATGATATAAGCAGGAGAGAATAATTATTTCTTGCTTCTATAGAAGGAGATAAGAGATCCTTATAAAATGAAAAATAATTATTATAAGAAATTAAAGAATCTTTAAGAACATTAGAAATTGAAACCAAGAAAAGATTAGAATAAGAGAATATGTATATTTAAAGATAAAAGTAAATTAATATTATTATAAACAAGAAATGAACTTGAACTTTTAAAAAATGAGATGAATTCTTAAGCTTAAAGTAAATTAAGATAATTGGATTTAGAAAGACAATTATTTGAATAATAAAAAAGTGAATACCATGAATTCACATAGAAAAATAATCAAATAATTTAGTAAAAATATTCAGATATCGAAAAGCAATAGCAAAAAAATGGAGCTAAAGAAATGCAACTGATTGCATTATAAAGGGATTTAGATATGAAAACTAATTAAGTTACTAGTTTGCATGCTGAATATTCGAGAAAATTAGGTTTAATTGAGGGTGAAAGGCAGTAATTACTGTAAAAATTGAAAGAAATAAATGAAAAAGAGAAACTTTATCACAAAGAAATTAGTAATGTTCAAGAATTTAGACAAATATACTAATAAGAAAAGGAAACTATTTAAAAATAGAAACTTGAATTGCATTAATAATTGACTCAAAATTAATAAGAAAAAATATAGATTGAATAAGAAAAGAGTTAATTAACGTAGATGCATAAGACTTTATCTAATTTAAGATAAGAAATAGCTTAAAATAATACTTAAGGATTTTCTTAAACAGGTGCACTACCTGCAAAGCCAGTATAAAAAAATATAGTAGAGAAACCTAAATAAGCATAGAAGATTCCAATTCACAATAATTCTTCGGCTAACTAGACAACATAGAATTTTGATGTAGGAAGTTATATGAAATACTTGAAGAATGTTGATTATTTACATTGATTATAAATTAAATTATAGATATTTATATTCAATGTTTTTTTGAAGAAGAAGGGGGAGGAGGCCTTCTTGATGCTGTTTAAGTACTTGTGAATGTGTTATTTGTACCATTTAGATTTACATTATTTCTATTATTATTGATTTATTATTAAGGTTATTGTTATTATTTAGGGAAATTGTTAGTTGCATTAAACTGAGATCTAATAGTATTTTATTAGGGTGGTAGCATTTGTTGTGATTTCTTTTTCATTTAATTAATCATGGCCTTTTCTTTACAAGAAGGTATATGTTTTAAAGCTGTTTACTCATTAAATTTTCTGCCGCAATGTTCACACTAAACTCTGTCATCTACTTCTTCAATGGCAATCTATACTAAATTATTCATGTACTTATTCCTATTGGGTAAGAGTGGCTCCTTTATTTAATTTCATTGCAGCTCTGAATTATTCAGATTACAATTTCCACTTAGGCTTTTTTTAACCTTGTATTGGTCTATCATCAATTTTAGTTTAAGTTTATTTTTTTTTCTATTATTGTTATTATTCTTCAATATATGCAAAATATTACAAATCTATTCTTCTATTTCTTATTTTTATAACAATTTAGCATGATCTTAATTGATTATCCGATGTTCTTTCGTATCAAATGCTTTTCTCTTCTCTTGAAATACTTTCTTACATATCTTAATATGTTTTTATAAAGCAGACCTCTTGAACTTTCTTCCACAACCTTCAGGACATTCAACTAAATCTTCATCATCATCTTCGTATTCATTAATTTCAATAGGCTTTTTATCCTCCTTAGCTACAATGTCTTCATATGATATAGTTTGAGGCTAATAACTTTATGCTTTCATTAAATTAGGTGCTTTATAAAAATCATTATCAGGAGTATCCTATGTGGATTGAATATATTTCCTATCTCTATCTCTTTTAGCTTTTAATAAAGTTAAAGCAGATCGTATTTCTTCTTGAGTAGCAGGACGATTAGGATTGTTGCGACTATAACTATTACTTCTTTATATAGGTCTTTATGGCTCTACAGGTGCTTAAAGTCTGAAATCTCCACGAAGATTCATTTCTGCTTATTGAGCAAAATTGAGTCTGGCTTCTCGAGAGTTTGCCCTTTATTAGTTTGAACGAGGAGGTTGACCTGCTGGTTTCATTTTAATTAATTAGTATTTATTATCTTTATCTAATTATTAATCTAAAAAGTATTCATTTATAATTTAAAGTTCTCTTTTCAAACTTAGTGTATAATATATTATAATGATATATTATTATTTATCTAAGAAAATTGAAATTTCTTTTTCTTATATTTCATCTTTCAAATTTCTTTTATAAAAATTTTTTTGTATATGAAAAACCTATTATTATTTTTTTTCATAATTATTATTAATTTTATTAAATATAGACTATAAATTTTAAAGAGAACTAAAACATTAAAGTGTTTTAGAATGTGTAAAATTATAATAAATGATTATTTCATTTTTATAAGAATATAACTATACAAGTAATGTCGTCTCTTGCTAAACTATTCTAAAGATTAATATAAAATTTACTCTTCTCCATGCCTGAGTTGCCTCTATTATGATGCGTTCAGCTGCTTAATCTGGATTATCTTTTTCCAAGTATGGAACAACAATACTCATTACCTAATTGAATTTATCTATACCTCTTCATTACTTAAATATTCCCATACTCCATCTGATGCTACTACAATAAAATGATCCTATTCAGTTATAGAATATTATTTAATTTCAGGTTCTGCAGTCACTCCTGCTTAAGCTCCTACTTTATCTCCAAATGATCTTGTCATTGCTAATCCTGGTGCCGGAATATAAGATAACCAAACTCTAAATGGTCCTATTGGATTTCCATGCAAATCTAAACATTATATTAATTAATTAACCTTTTTATTATTCTACTCTTCCTCCTGCATCTTAAATCTTTTGTTTCTCTTCGGGATCATCTGGTTTATGATCTCTACTTAAAGGAACTACCTTCCATCCATCATTAAATCTACACATTATTGCTCTAGAATCTCCTACATTTGCTGAATAAATCTTCATTATTATATTTAAATTACAAGATTCTTAGTTATCAATAATGATACTGTAGTTGAACCTGAAAGATTAGTGTCTATCTCAGAGTTCCATAATTCTCTATTCGTTATTGTAAATGCTTTCTAAATCTGATTCTCGATTTATTCTGTGTCCTTTAATAATCTACTCAAGTGTTTAGGTAATTGTTATTTTATTTAATTAGATACCAAATGACCATTTAAACCATGACCATCACAAACTGCAAATAACTTAAATCCAACACTATATTTATTTCTATTTTCTTTTACCTTTCTACATTTTTTGGACAAACTATTGCCGCATCTTAATTTATTTTTGTTGCCTTATTTGGTTAACAACCAGCTTTGGTTTTCATTGCAAATATCAAAGAATTTCTCTTTCCTAATCTTTTTTCTGGTGTTATGGATTTCCTCACTCCATCTATTTCTGATATTTACTTTTTTCTTTATAATTACTACTCACTTGCTGTAAATTATATAGATGGTAAACGACCAGCCTTACCCTTATAAATTGAAACTGTCTATTCTATTTTACTCAACTTTTTTAAAGGCGGTAGTGCAGGCAATGATAAATTTGCCTAATATTTACCATTATTATTGTTATAATCTGCACTTTCAGGATATCTTTATACTATTCGTTGCATGTTTTCTTTTTATGGAGACAAAAACTCGAGTGGTTTCAAACGATAATCTCTTTATAATCTTGTTATCGGAACAGATTATTAATGCATTTATTCTGTAATTAATTATTATATTATAAAATTGAACTTCCTGAATTTCTAATTTTTAAAATTTATTAAACTTCATAAACTAATTCAAATACTAAGATAACTTGAACTACTCTTTTAAAATATTAACAAAATTATTTTGGTAAGCTTTTTTTAAAAAACTTATTTATATTCTTAATCAAAAGTTATAAGGTGATTATATGTAGAAAATTTATATAAAATTTAAACAAATTTTTTGAAGTATTAAGTTAATTATACTACATAACACTTATTTTTTTAATCAGACGATTCTATATAAAATATTTTAAATCCTATTACAATATAAAAAAAATATTTAGATTAACAAAGAATTGTATCATAAAAAAATTCAACAAGTTTACAAAATAATTTTTTAGTGATAATTATTTACTTATGAAGTAAGGAATTTCAAAGCTTAAATGAAAATGAAAATAATAAATACTTTTTGTAATAATATGGATCAATAATTTTTAATTATATAAATTAAAATTCATCAATTTAAGTTTTCATGTTTGGAGATTAAGTAAAATATATTTAAATAGAGGAAATTAATTTAATAAATTTTGTAAATATTAGAAATTAAAGTATTTATATATTTTAGAATTAAAAATGTTAAAAAAGAGAGGATCAGATTAACTTGACATAATTTTTGAAGCTGGTGAAGATTTGATGAATTCTTCTAAGAATCAAGTTATAATTTTAAAAAACAATTCTATCAGATTACCAATTACAAAGCCTCGAACTTTTTTATCGTATAGTTTAGAATTTTGTGGTATAACAGGTTTAAATTATAAATAACTTCGATTTCAATCATTAGGAAGAGATATAAGAGTATTTAATTAATTAAAGATTTAGCCTGAGACTAGTATAATGACAGCTAGTTTAGTTAAAGTGATTCATACTAATGAGTTTAATTAGATGGTGCAAAATCCTTTAAAAACTTCATTATAAAATTTATTTTTAGGAGGAATCTTTAGTGATGTAATCCTAAAAATAAATGATGATATAGTAAGAATTATAATAAATAGATAGGTGCTTCCATTACATAAATGTATTTTGTGTTGTCGATCTCCAAAATTTAATGGAATGTTTTCATCCAATCTTATGGAGAGTGCATAGAATGTTATAAAAGTGGAATGTAAGAAGCCTGAATTATTTAAATTGATGTTAGGGTGGATATATAGTGGATATTGGAAAGAAGTATTTAAATAAATTAATAATTTTGTTAGTTCCCAGATAATATTGCAGATGCATGTGATTTAATGTTATTGGCAGACGAATATATGATTATGGATCTTAAATAAAAATGCGAAGAAGATATTATATCAAAATTAGACATTACAAATATTTTATAGGTTTTATTGTTTGTGGAGAAATATTGTGATATATTATCTCCAATAATACTTGATAAAGCTCATAGTTTATTTATTGATGACTTTGATTAGATCTTACGTTTGAATCCAAATTTAGAATAATAGATAACTAAAGTACCAGGATTGATGACAAAATTATTTTTAAATTATCATCAAAAGAAGATTAGGAAAGCAAGAAAAGTTCATTTTGTAGTTGAAGATTTTGATTAATAAGAATCAGATTCAGATTATAATTCATAGGATTACGTTAGAAATTATACGTAAAATTTTTACTAATGATTATTATATATATAATATTCATAATTTTTATTGAGTGAAATATTCTTAAATTTTAGCATCTACTTCTTCACTTAGTTCATTAAGTTTTTTTTTAAGTAAAGCATGTTTATCAATTTATTGATCTTTTTCATGGAAATAATCTTATAAATTGGTTTTGGGGATGGAATCATCAATATCTGGCATTGAATCAATTAAAGTTAAAAGTTCATTTTGATAAGTGAGCATATGATGTGCTCTTAATTGAAGGTCTTATTAATTCATTTCTTAATGAAGAGAATTTCTGAGAGTATCTTCAAAGACCATAAGGACTCCTTAAAGTTTATTTTAAAGTTATAGTGCCATTTATTTATGTAGGAATGTATTAAATATAAAAATAAATAAAGTTTAGAAGGAATATTAATAAAAAATATCTTAAATTTAATGAATCAATAAAATTTAGATAAAGATGAGATTGCTTTACTTCAAAAGCCTTGGGTAAAAAATCATACAACATTAACAAATGATGATATCTTATAGCTTTACAGATTATTTAATTTGTATTGTGATCCTAGAACAAGAAGAATAGATCTAAAGGATGTAATGATAACAGCATAACAATTGGGATTGGTTGAGAAGAATCCAATAGTAGCTAATACATTGTAATAAGTATCAGATTAGCATGGAGATGGTGGAGTGGATTTTGAAGAATTTGTAAGAGAATTGACAAATAAATTGGTAATTTGATTGTATATAATCTAATAGGGAAATTTATTTGATTAGAAAGGAAGAGAATAATTATTTACCTTAGTGGATATTGATGGTAAAGGAACTTTAGATAAGGAGGATTTGAAAAAGATTTCAGATGAATTGCATCTTAATTTCTCACAAAAAGATATTGATGAAATAGTTCATAATGTTGCTGGATATGGTGCTGAAGATGTTACAGCTGAATAATTTGAGAAATATTTAGCTAAATTGACAAATAGAAGAAAAATTGAGACTGAAGTACTCAGAACAAAATGATAAACACAATTTATATAATAAGCATAAGAACAGATTAAATTATTAAATATATATATAAATGTTCTAAATGATTTGATATCATATCAGACAGCTGAGGCTCCTGAAATGATTTCACATAATTCAACAGTGATTTTAGCTTGTCTAACTTTATTATAATCAAGTGTCAATTTATCAAGCATTTCACCTGCATTTTTAGAAGCATTCTCCATAGCATTCATTCTTGAAGATGTTTCACTAGCAAAATTATTCAACATAGCATGATAGAATGCAGTTGCAATATAATATTCATACATATAATTTTGAACAAATTCTTTTTCAGGTTCAGCTGTATCATATTTTGTAACCAATCTGAATTAAGCTATAAAATTCTTTCTATTCAATAAGTCAACTCTTTTTACGACTTACTGAACTACATTCTTAAATTGATTGAAGATTATTGTGATTTAATCAATATCTTCTGTCACATTCAATTAGATCTAATGAGCAATTGAAGATGAATTAATAAAATTTATTGGAGTTTGAATTGCTGTGATTGCTTAAGTTAATAATTCAGGAAATGCTCTTTGTAATGCTCCAAGAGACTATTATAATTAATCATATTTATACATACTTTTTCACCAATTAAGAATAATTTATAAGCATTACGATTTTGACGTACAACTGAACGAGTTTCTCTTATTATAGATGAGTTTATGCCACCACAAAGTCCTTTATCTGATGTAATTGGAACCAACAGACTCTTATTTATTTTGAAATTCAATTGTTTTTTCTATAAGTATGTTTCATTTGCAAATAAATCTTATATTGAACGAACACCAAAGTATTTTCCATTTTCAAGTCTCTAAACATCCTGTTTCATTTTTGAAGCAGCAACCATCTTCATTGCCTTAGTAATCTTTCTGATTGATCCTACAGATTTCATTCTTTGCTTCAATTATTTAAGATTCAATGTAGCAAATGCATACTAAGGAACTGGAGTAAAGCTATTCCATAAACTAAGTGTTGCTCCTTATAATCTCTACATTTTTAATTAAATAAATAAATCTTAAAAAAAAACAAGTTCAGAAAGAGAGTATATTATTAATTTTCTCTTCTCAATAGAATTTTCATCATTATCAAAAAGCATGAAATACTTAATACAATTTAATGAATCTATTTATTTTACAATCAAAAAATAAGTAAAAAACAATTTAGAACACTTAAAGGAAGTCTAAAGTATAGTTTTAAAAAATAATTATAAAATATATTAATAACTGATTTATTTATAGTTAAAATCAATGATCAATTTTGACTAACATAAGTAAATGACACTTTAGACAAGTCCTGAGGAAGACTTTAATTAAGAATATGATTAACCTACTGAAACTAATATGTATTAATCATTAAGTAAAATAATAAAATAGTATTATAGATTATCTAAAGAGCCATTAACCATTAAATTTATAAGGATTTATGGTTAATTAACATTCTAAACTCTTCGATCTCAAAAAGAAATATCTAAAAAATTAAGAGAACACTCAACGACAATCTATCTCTTTTCATAATAAAATGCATAACAATAAATCGCCAATAAAATCTTAAAAACCAAATAGATAATGTTCTCCAAAGTAGGAAAACAATTAAGTTATGTAAAAGAAGAAAACAATGCCTGTATCAAAGAATATAGGAAGCAATCTTAGGAATATATTAAAATCTAATTATCAATAATAAGGGTCTTATGGAGAGAATCCAGAAAATGCAATTATTAGAAAGGAATATTCATAACTTGTAGAAATTCCGATGGAGAATTAAGGAATAGAGAGTTATTGTTTTATTAAGACGTTGGGTATAGGGGCAACTGCAGAAGTGAAAATGGCAAGACATAGAGAATTAGATATTGAAGTTGCGATAAAGATATATGATAGAAAGAAGATGAATAATATGCATATTAAGAATTTAGAGAGAGAAGTGGATATCTTAAATTAAATTAAGCATCCAAATATTATAAATTTATATCATACATACGAAAATGATAAGCAGATATTTTTAATAATGGAATATTCAGCTCCAATAAATTTGGAAACATTTATGAAAGGTCGTCCATTTAAAAGATTAAATGAAGATGAGGCTAAAATATTATTCAGATAAATTGCAGATGCAGTTTCTTATATGCATTAATTAAATATTTCTCATAGAGATTTGAAATTTGAAAATTTATTAATTGATTATAATACTAGAAAAGTAAAGATTATAGATTTTGGATATTCAATTAAAATAGATGGTAAATAGGTATGTTCTTGTGGAACACCTCAATATATGGCACCTGAATTAGTTAAAAAAAGTACTTATGATGAATCTGTTGATGTTTGGGCATGTGGTGTTATTTTATATAAAATCTTAACTGGTGTGTTTCCATTTCGTGGAAATTCAGAAAAAGATTTATATAGAAAAATATGTTTAGGGAAATTAGAATATCCTTCATTTGTGAGTAATTCATCAAGATAATTGGTTTCATCTATGTTGAGAGTGGAACCAAATGAAAGAATTAGTATGTAGGATGTGCTATTATCTTAATGGTTAAATTGAATTTTATATCAAATATTATATTAACAATTTAAATCATTTTTAAATCTGCTATGATTCTTAAATCTATTACTACTAAGATTATTATTATTTTTTTGTTACTCTTGAATCGAATAATCCTTACTATAATCTTAGTGCACTTAGAGCAGTCTATTTTTTAAAACTAGCTAATTCAGAAAAGGATCTTTGAATATTGTTAAGACTATTTTCTTACTGTTTTTATAATTTTTATTAAGTCTTAACTCTATCTGAATATAATTATTTAATTTCTTCAACTTTAGCCTATAGATTTCTTTAATTATTGATTGGAGTATTAATTTTTGAATAAGTAGATACTTAATGAGATTTAAAACTATCAGTACTTTCATCCATTTAGGTATGACATCTCTAACTAAGATATAATTAATCAATAATAGCTGATTTTTATGAAATTCTACTTTATTTTTCATGTTATGAAATTGATCTTTATTAAGTAAAGAATCTATCTATTTAAGCCTTTAAATTTTGTATCTTCAGTTCAAACTCATCATATCTAAAAAATTAATCTTCATAACAAATAATGAATTACCATTATCAGGGAAATATTTCACTGTACTAAAAATGTCACTAAAACTCATTTGTCCTATTACTTTTTACATTATTTGTTTGCATCCAGAATAATAATTAAGAATACTAACTGAAGGTTATAATGATTCACTTAAACCAATATTCTCAAAATCACTTCTTAATTAAGTTAGACTGTTAATTTTCAACTGAATATCATTGAGCATTTTTTCAGTCTATTGTTCTTAAACCTCTTTAAGATTCTCTAATTAAGTTAGAATCTCCTTCTCTTTATTTTAAATCACTTAATATAATGAATGGAACTATTCTTAAACTCTCTACATAAGATAATCCATCTCTTCTTGTAACGTACAATGTTGATCTTATACTCTTTTTAATTGCAATTGCATTAATTCTAAAGATGCCCCTATTGTATGAGTGGCATCATTCATTTTACTTTTTAATCTCTTTAGACAGCTATTTACATTCTAAATCTCATGTGTCTTATTATCATGTCTTAATAAGCATTTTATACAAAAACATTTATTCTCACAAGTGAAACAAAATAATGTTGCATCTTCCTTAGTATGAATCTCACACTTTGGCTATACTATTATCTAACTTTATTCTATATGTTTTTCTTCTTTAGTATTATTTTTATCTTCTCTAACCTTCTCTAGACTACTTTGAATCAATTGATGACAGATACTCTCAACTACTGATACTGATCCTTCATCTAATGGAGTATCTTTTTCACATACTGTACATATGTAATGAATATTATCTGTTCCCTCTAATTTGAAGATTCTTCCACCCTTTTATTTTCAATTTAAATACTTTCAAAAAGCTTTGAGCCATACAAATTAAGCAGAAACAATGATTACAATTTAGACTTAAGTAATTATCTGGCACTTATTTACATTAATCACATGCAACTACCTCTTCTTAAGACATCAATTAACTGTTAAAATAATTAATTAGCGGAATTATTACTTCATTAAAATTTCTGTTAATTATATATTTAACCATTCTCATCCATCTGATCTAAAAAAACTTTACTAAACTATTTATATATATATTTTTAGAATTTTACAAACACAAATCATACACACTTTTTATAAATATGAAAGTTATTTTTATATTTTTGACAATTAATTAAAAGTAGTATTAAATTTATATATATATTGATATAATTGAAATTTAGAATCAGTATTTCCATCAATTTAATCGGTCGGATAAGAATCCAATAATATTTTATTATTCTTCAACTTATTTGTACATACTAATACATCCTTTAATATTAGATGATTTATTAATATGCATTGTTTTTAACTATTATCGACTTCTATCAGTTGTAGAAAATGTATTTATAAATAATTTTTAAGTTAATTATTATCTATATTGTTGTTTTTCTTCTTCAGTAGATTATTTAGTCAATACCTTAATTTAATGTTTAGGAGATCTTGCTAATTAAGTATTTTATATCAATTCTTCTGGTGATTAATGTAATTTTCTTCTTAATTTTGCTAATGGATTTTCAATTTATTAAGTTTATTTAGGTAAAAATTTCTTTTAAATTTCATTCGAATATGTAATCAGTTAATTTTTAAATCCTTCATTTGGATTAACACAGGGTCTTTTAGATTTAACAAATTTAAGTGTTTTCTCAAATGTCCATTTATTTTGATACATTAAATAAGCAATTACACAAGTAGCTGATCTGGAAATACCTGCCATACAATGTACTAAAACAGATCCAATTTTCATTGCTTCTTCAATTTCTTCATTTGTCATTTCTATTAGTTCTTAAATACTAACATTTTCTTTATCATGAACTCTAAAAACCTTTTGTTATTGATCAATATACTTTATGAATAATTTTTTAATGTTTTGGATAGTTTACATTAATATTGCTTGCTACAGTAATTACAGTACAAATGTTTTCTTTACTCAGATTTAAAATATTTTAAGCAGCCTTTATATTACCTAACCATAAAGCTCCATCTGTTTTAGTAGATGGCAATATTAAATCCATTTCATTTATATGCATATACATAAATATTAACTAGATTTATTATAAAAATATGATTATTAAATTATAATTCAAAGAATTTTACTTATCAATAGTTCAAAAGTTTTAAGATGAGATTCACTATTTCGTTTCACTATATATAATTGTTTAAGTTTTCGATGATATACATAATAAGAAGAATTAAGTAATTCATTTAGATTTTATAAGTATTTTAAGCATCTTTGGATGGCAAATGATTCTTCTTAAACTCTATTCTCTTCTATTTAATTGCATTTTTTCAAAATCTTTATTTATTCTTCTGATATATTCTCAAAATCTTCTTCTAATTTCAAAGCCCATTTTAAAACATTTGGATGTTTTAAATATTATAAACAAACAAATTGCTCATCATTAAACTTATCTTCTAAATAACCATTATTTAAATATCCACATAACATTTTTATAGTTTGAAGACAATTTTATTCTAAATCTTCATTTAGAATCTGTTTTCTAATAGTTTAAAGATCCTTTTCATTGAGTTTATTATGTTCAAAAAAAGATTATTTATGATTAGAATTTGATTCTAAGAGTTAGCATTTTTATTATTCAAAATTTTAAATTTGCTCATCGATTCTTTCTATAAAATTTAGCCATGTTTTTAAGATTAATTTATAAGCCTTTTTAAATAATTGATCCCAAAATGAACATACTAATCGTAATTGACCTTATTCTTGGGGAGTTAAAAAATATAGAATATGTAATGAAGAATCTCTTCTTAAAAACATATAATTATATAATATAAATATAATAAAAATGTAAAAGACACCATTTTCTTTTGATTTATAGATGTTCTCTTAAAACTTTGAATTTAACAATAAAGAAATAATAGGAAAAGGATTTGATTCTGTTGTTTACAAAGTGATTAATAAATAAGATAGAAATGAATATGCATTAAAATTAACAAGCTTTAAGGATTTACAACACAAATTTAATTTTTAATAAGAAATCAGACTCTTATATCATTTAAATCATGATCACATTGTAAAATTTTATGCAAACTCTCTTGATGGTAGTTGCATTTTAATTGAATATATGCCATTTGGTCATTTAGGAAAATTAATAGATCAAAGAGACATAAGAATAGATATAAGAATAGTTAAATCAATTGTAAATCAAATTATGAGTGCTATTAAATATTTACATTCTATGAATATAGTACATGGTGACATTAAACCAGAAAATGCATTAATATCAAGAGATTTCATAATAAAAATTTGTGATTTTGGATTTGCTATAGTGGCTAACTCTCCAAATACTAAATTAAGAGGTGGAAGTGAAGGTTATACAGCACCTGAGTTATTAATAAATGAAAATTATGATGCAAAAAAATGTGAAATGTTTTCTTTAGGAGTACTTTTTTTTGTATTATTTATGGGATATCGACCATTTCTTAGTACTCATCCATAAAAGTAAGATAAATTTTGGAATTATATCAAAAATCAAGAATGGGATAAATTTTGGAAAATATTTGAAACTAAAAATCCAGATATAGGATTTAGGAACTATATTTAAAAATTATTGTGTGCTGATCCTAAAGAGAGATACACAATTGAAGAAGCTATGTAAGATGACTGGTTTAAAAGTAATCAATACACAGCATAGTAATTAGCACCTCATCTATAAAAACTTTTAATTAAATAGTGATATTTATTTTTATTAACCATTTGTTTAATATGACATATAAATTGAATCAAATTATGCCATTTCTAAAATCTAATAATTTTTTTATTTCTTATATTTAAATTAGTTGTCTACACTCTAATTAAATATTGGGATTTATTAGACTTTACAAAACAAAATAAAAATAAACAAAAATTTTCAATTTTTAAATTCAATATTTTTCTTCTTGAAAAATAATTAGTTAAACATTAAACACAAATAGCATCAAAATTGTAAAATAAAATCAAAATTTTCATCCTCATTTCTAGGCATTTACATGTTGTGAGTTTTTTCTTTTCAAAATTGACTTTAATTATTAGTCAGTTTATTATTATTTATTGTTATTTTAATGTTAGTTTCTAAAGTTAACTTTCATCATATCAAGATTTGAAAGTTGAGAAAGAGTTTCTTTTATTTATAAGACTTCATCATTTGGATCGTAAACACAAACTGTAACACAATTATCAAATTCTATTGAGTAATTTTTGCCTTATGTAATCTGCCTTCCTTTTACATCATACCTTAATTATTCTTTAATCAACTCAGTTTAATTTAAAACTTATGAAAACGATTCATCAGGGACAATATCATCATCTGGTCCTACTCTTATATTTAGTTAGAGCAGTAATTTAGGACCAACAATTGATTTCTACATTATAATTTAATTTTTAGTATATAAATTGGTACTTATTCAATGTATTCAAAATTTCTAGTTTTTTTATATAGTTATATAAATCATGATCTAATAAATATCAAACATCAATAATTTAGACTTATATAATTATTTCTTAATACTAATAACTTAAAATATTTGGATTAATGATTAATCAACAAACTAATCATTTAGAAGAGAAGTTAATAAAATATACTGAAAAGTTACAAATTCATTTAAAATATAAAATTGGTAATTGCTAATATATATGAAAACAATAAGAAAATTAAAAAGAAAGTTTAATGATAACCAAATCTAAAAAAAACAAAAGTAAGAATCTAAAACTAACCTGTAATTATTTATCCTAATTAATATTGATTAGAAATTATTCAATAACCAAATAAACAATTGTTAAATCTCATAAAAATTTTCATATTTTTAAAAAAAAGAAGATTAATAAGCAAACTCATAATGATAAAATAAATTGATTTGAAAATGATATAGAAATTAGATAAAATTTATGAATTGTGTGAGTATAAACATTTGTTAAATAAATTTTAAGAAGAAGAGAAGCTCAAAAATAAAATTATTTGCATTCTAAAATTCAATGAAATAATCAACATTAAAATAAAATAATAACTAATAAACTTCTAATCCTTATTTATTTAGATATAAATTATAATTTGCACATAAGAAAGCAGATGCTCATACTATTTCTTAGAAATCTTAATGGTTTTGCTTAATATTTTTATAAGCTATTAATGTAATATGATATTCTCCAAAAATTATTCTAAAGTATTAAGGCTTTCTCAAGCTTCATTTATAATTATAATAGTTTTTCTATATTTATCAAGTAAGATTGATTTAAGATGTTATATTCTGTTTTTTGGTACTTTAAGTAAAATTCTAATTCCTATATATTACTTATGGAACTTTGAATTTTATCGTAATAGTGAATTAATTATTCATTCTATTTCTTATTTTATATGAGTAATTTTTTTTAAATAAATTATAATGTTATTTCTACTAAAAAAAGAATTCTGTTTACTAAAAAATGAGTATCTAATTATTATCTAAATATGTATATATTTTTATTTTTATCCATGAAATATAAAATCTTTTACTAGTATTTTTTTAATAAATTATTTTATTTTATAAATTTTCATTCAAAGAATTTTAATGTATTGAAAGATATGACATGTGAATAACATAGTAGTTAGAAAGTGATGATCGAAAAAAGTAAATCAATAAGTTTATAATAATGTTTTTTATGTGATCTATATTGTATTAATAACCCCAAATTCCAAAGAATGACATTAGGGAATTTTTAAATTATTGCAATGAAAAAATAAAAAAATAAAATTTTAATGAGGGACTTTATATTTTACTAGAAATATAAAACAAATTAATAGGTAATTTAAGAGTAAGAAGTTCTAAATTTGATAAAATAAGTAAATAAATATTTAGATTAAAATAATTTGATTTTTATAAACTAGCATTGTAAGAATTAAACATATAAATCAAAAATTAGAGGTTATTAATAAACTTATTTAATTTTTATTAAAATGAAATAGAAGTTGTGTGTTAGTATCCTTAAGATCCAAGTTTATTTATAATTTGTTCAAATGATAAAAAATTTACAATGTAAATAATTAACAAGTTAAGTTGTGAAACTGAATTATATCTGATTTATTTAAAGGGAAAAAGAATATTTTGCTATAGGATCAAATGATACAAAAGTCAAAATGTTTAATATAAGAAAATCATAAAAATAGATAATTAAATTTAAAAATCTTAAAGATGCCCTATATAAACTTAACGATTTCGTCTTTAAAAAGAATTTATTAATTACAAATTGATATTAAAATATCTTAGGGGATTATTTAAAAGTAGGTAAATAAACAGTATAGAAAATTCAATAAAGATATTCATTCTGAGGCTTTAATAAATTGAATAAATAAAAGATTATAGTTTTATCAGGGAGAATATTAGATGTGAAGTTTATGATTTAACTTGGTACTATTTATTAGCAAGAATAGAAGCTGATGAGGGTATGATATAAATATGGATGATCGAAGAAAATGAGGATTTTATATAGTCTCTTATTAGTTTATTAATTATTTACCAATTTAGACTTTATACTTTAATATATATAATTTATAATAAAAATGGTTAAAACTCCGATTAAAGTCATAGTGCGTACAAGACCAACAGTAGAATTTGCATATAAAAATATCAATATAAATGAAAATACAGGACATATTGCTATAAATATACCAAAGTCTGCTGATCAAGGTAAATATATTGATTTAACATATGAAAGGATTTGTTAATCATTAATAAGAGGATTGGGGGTTTACTTTTGATAAAGTTCTTTAAAATGCAAGTTAAGAGGTTGTATTTGACATATGTGGCAAAGAATTAATACATAGTGCTTTAGGTGGGTATTCTGGAACTATTATGGCTTATGGATAAACAGGAGCTGGAAAAACATTTACTATGATGGGATCATAAATTGATTATAAATATAGAGGAATGATGCCGAGATGCATAAGTTTACTATTTCAAGAAATAGAAGCCAGATATGAATAATAGATCACTGTAGGAGTTTCATATTTAGAAATTTATAATGAAATGATGTATGATTTATTGGCAGGAGGAGATTAGAAGTAAATCTAATATCCATTTACTTTAGCACTGGTCTGGCTATACAAGAAGATAACAATGGTTACGTATAAGTTAAAGGATTAACTATTAAAAAATGTCAAACTGAAGAAGATGCAATTGCTTAATTGTTTGAAGGAGAAACTAATAGAACTATTAGTGAACATAAACTTAATAAAGCATCATCTAGATCTCATTGTGTTTTTACTGTTCATTTAGAAATTAGATCTAGAGTTGAATCTGCTGAGAAAGTCATTATTAGTAAATTGAACCTAGTGGACTTGGCAGGTTCAGAAAGAACCAAAAAAACTGGATCAGAAGGAAGAACTTTATTGGAAGCTTAATTTATAAACAAGTCACTTTCATTCTTAGAATAAGTAGTTGTTGCATTATCTGAAAAATAAAGGGATCATATTCCTTATAGATAAAGCAAATTGACTAATCTTCTCAAAGATTCAATTGGAGGCAATAGCAAAACTGTTATGATAGCTAATATATGGCCAGAGAAGAATTAATTAGAAGAAACTATATCTACTTTGAAATTCGCATAAAGAATGATGAAAGTTACTAATGAATCATCAATTAGAGTTAATTTAGATCCTTAGGTTTTGATAAAAAAATATGAAAAAGAAATAAAAGATTTAAGGCAAGAATTAGCAATGCATGATACATTAGCTAATAGAGGTAGAATATAATATGAACCATATACTCCTGAATAATAATATAAGTAATAATAAATTGCTTAATAATTTTTAAATGGAGAACTTGAAGATATAGATATAGATTCTTTAAGATAAGTGAAAGAATTATTTTTTTAATTTAGAAATTTATATAGGAATTTAGTTAAAGATTTGGAAAATAAAAATTACATTCCAAGAACAGAGAAGGAACCTGATGTTTCAAAGAAAAAGAGTGATTAGGTTAAACCAGTTGATAGTGTAGGGATGGAAGAAAATAAATATGGTTTTGGTTTAGGAAAGGCAAGAAAAGATGCTAAACCTACTACAAATATTGAAAATTTAGTGAATATTCCTAAAGATGAATTTAAATAAGTAGATGAAAAGGCTTAATAAGAAGTTAGAAAAGAAAGTTAGATTACAGAAGCTAATAAGGAATAAACTATTGAAAAGAGGATAGTGAATGTTGATAAATAATAAGCATTTGCTGATTTTAAAAATAAAGAAGGTTCTTAAATTAATTAATAAATATTAGAAAACATAGTAAAATTTAATTACTATTTTTTAGAATCAATTAAAAGAAAAGAAAGATAATATTTTATCTTAATCAGAAATTTCAAATACATTAAAAACTTAGATTGAATTAAGGAAAGCTACGATTGCATAAAAATAAACAAATAAAAATTAAGAGGTATCAAAGTAAATCAATTATTTAGGAAATAGCTTAAGGAATTATTGATGAGGAAGAATATACTACTTTAAAAGAATTAAAAGAATTAAAAAAATAATTAAAATAGAATTAAGAAAATATAAGACAATTAAAAATTGAAATAATGGACATTGATTCAAACATTAATCAAGTATGAATTTTACCTATACTCTTTAGTCAAAAGCAAGTTTGGTTTAAAAATTTGAAGAACATTTCCTAAAAAAGTATGGATTGACTTTATAAGACATTAATAATCCACTTGTAAATTAAAAAGAAGAAGAATATTCAATTAATGATCCTTCAGAATAAGATGATGTTGATTAAGATGCTTTAGCTTATATTAGAGCAAAGAATAAGGTTACATAATTGTAAAAGGCAAGAAAATAAGAAAAAATGCACAAATGATAAACGTATTTATCTATAATAAATCCTTATGAATAAATGTTTATTTCTTATAATATCTTTTAATTCATTTTATTCCATTCTTATTAAGCTTCTCTTAAATTTTTGAAGGGTTTAAATTTTCTAAACAATGAGCAAATTAGCTTCTTTTTCTTTGCCATTTAAATTTTTAAAAATTTATAAGTTTTCTACAATTACATCTCGATATAACATATGAAAAGTGTCATTAGCTTCAAAATTATTACTCATAAAAAATATTTGATCAAACTTGTAGTTTAAGTAGAGGCTTTTCAATTTTATAATTCTTCTTAATGAACTTGATTGCATTTCTTCAGATTTCAGAAAATATATTAAACTAAACTTTCAAAACCATTAAAATTAGTTATGTTAATTTTTAGTATTCTGAAATAAAGTTATTGATAATTAAATATTTTAGATGCTAAGAATCTACCCCAAATTTCTTTATCAATTTATCATCTAATTTCTTATGAAGCATCTAAGATATATTGATTTGAATTTTTTAGTGTATTAATTAGATTCTTGGCCGAGCATCCAACAACAACTATATTTTAATAAATATATAGTTTATTTTAACTAATTGATTTAGCTATTTCATCTACAAAATAATATATCATAAGAATTCAATACGTTTATCTTTTAATATATTTCTTTAATTGTTCCTTCATCTATCTTTATTGTTTGATCTTCAAAAATTCCTTCCAAAGAAATTCAATCTTTTATTAAACTCTTAATATCAATGTTATTAGTTCCTTAACTTTTATGATCTAAAAGGTTTGTGTAGGAATTTAAAAGGCTAAATTTAATACAGCCCATGGTGTTCAACCACAAAAAAGTTCATAAAACATTAATCCAACAGACCAAACATCACATTTTGCTGTAAAAGGTTAAGCTTCCAATATTTAAAGTGTCATATAAAGAGGTGAACCAAGTCTTGATAGATAGGCAGGATCTAAAATAAATTTATTATATGAGATCATCATCAGCATAATGTTCAAGAAACATATTCAAGTAATAGTATATTCTTGCTACATCAAATAATCTTACTATATTTGGATGGTTAATATTTTCAAGAATAGATATTTCTCTCTTTATTAATTCTATCATTTTTGGGATGTTTGAGATAGTCTCTTTATCGTTTTCATAGCTACTTGTTTTATTTCATTTTCTTGTAGAAAGCTTCTATATACTGTATCATAAAGCACCTTGCCTTAATGTTTTATTAATAAAAACATATTTATCTACTTTCTTTGTTGTCCAGTTTTCATTCATTTTTACAAATATTATAAAATTATATTCGAGATAATTATATACATATATGTTATTAAAATAAGTATCACAGCCTGTTTGCCCGAGCTGGTTAAGGGGGCAGACTTAAGATCTGCTGGAGCCTACTCCGCGTCGGTTCGAATCCGACAGCAGGCAATTTTTTTATTTTTAATTCCTTATTTAATATTTATCATTATTAATTTTTATATATAATTTTATTATCACACTTCATCTTATTATANCTGAAATAAAGTTATTGATAATTAAATATTTTAGATGCTAAGAATCTACCCCAAATTTCTTTATCAATTTATCATCTAATTTCTTATGAAGCATCTAAGATATATTGATTTGAATTTTTTAGTGTATTAATTAGATTCTTGGCCGAGCATCCAACAACAACTATATTTTAATAAATATATAGTTTATTTTAACTAATTGATTTAGCTATTTCATCTACAAAATAATATATCATAAGAATTCAATACGTTTATCTTTTAATATATTTCTTTAATTGTTCCTTCATCTATCTTTATTGTTTGATCTTCAAAAATTCCTTCCAAAGAAATTCAATCTTTTATTAAACTCTTAATATCAATGTTATTAGTTCCTTAACTTTTATGATCTAAAAGGTTTGTGTAGGAATTTAAAAGGCTAAATTTAATACAGCCCATGGTGTTCAACCACAAAAAAGTTCATAAAACATTAATCCAACAGACCAAACATCACATTTTGCTGTAAAAGGTTAAGCTTCCAATATTTAAAGTGTCATATAAAGAGGTGAACCAAGTCTTGATAGATAGGCAGGATCTAAAATAAATTTATTATATGAGATCATCATCAGCATAATGTTCAAGAAACATATTCAAGTAATAGTATATTCTTGCTACATCAAATAATCTTACTATATTTGGATGGTTAATATTTTCAAGAATAGATATTTCTCTCTTTATTAATTCTATCATTTTTGGGATGTTTGAGATAGTCTCTTTATCGTTTTCATAGCTACTTGTTTTATTTCATTTTCTTGTAGAAAGCTTCTATATACTGTATCATAAAGCACCTTGCCTTAATGTTTTATTAATAAAAACATATTTATCTACTTTCTTTGTTGTCCAGTTTTCATTCATTTTTACAAATATTATAAAATTATATTCGAGATAATTATATACATATATGTTATTAAAATAAGTATCACAGCCTGTTTGCCCGAGCTGGTTAAGGGGGCAGACTTAAGATCTGCTGGAGCCTACTCCGCGTCGGTTCGAATCCGACAGCAGGCAATTTTTTTATTTTTAATTCCTTATTTAATATTTATCATTATTAATTTTTATATATAATTTTATTATCACACTTCATCTTATTATATAAAATTATCAAATTTTTTCAATTCTCTTCAATGGTTAATTATTAATTAAAAAGAAAATATATATTTTTTCTAATCAATTAGAGCTTATATTTATTATCAAAAATTATTAATAGATATCTTCATTCTATCGTAATTTTGCATTGATATTATAAAAAGAATTTTTAATAGAAAATATCAACTATGAGATTCTTCATTAAATTTGAATGAGTTTTCTTAAAGCACAATCTACAGCTTTTTTTTTAGTATCAATCAATAAACCCAGCATAAAAATAATTAATTAATCGAATGAGAAAATTATGAGTATTTAAAAGAATAAAAAAGATATATTTGGTTAATTATTGATGACAATATTTAAATATTCAAAGTTCCTTATATTGTTTAATATATTTTGCAACCATATTCAGTTGTACATATATAATAAAAGCAGAGTTAAATAATTTGAATGGCAGAAAAAGTAAATTATAAAATAATTAAATAAATGTTTTCTAAATTTGGTTAATAATTAAGACCTTTAGGTAATAGATCCTCTTCTGAAACAAAAAAGGAGCAATCTAATTAAAAGCCAAATTTTCAAATAACTTAAAAGAGACAAAGGAGTGAATCTAGAGTAAATTAGAATGAAGATTAGAAATAGCTAGTATAGAGTATACAAGCTTAAAGGTAGAATTAAAGATTACCTGATTTAAATAAATAGCAAAAATAAATAGAAAAATCGACATCAGGATTAGATTTATCAAAAAAGCCTCCTCTTCTTAAGAGTAGAATAATAATCGATTCAAAATCAAAATAATAATAATAATAATAATAGTAATAGCAAAATTTAACTCAATCAATTAATTTAAGAAGTTAAAAAGATGAGACCATATAACATTGGCATTAATAAAAATAAAAAATGAAGATTAATTATTTTAGTTAATCACGTCCTGGTTTTGATGGTTTATTAGAGAAAACTAATTAAGACAAAGAATTATGTTTATAGTTTGATGAAAATAATTATGCATTTGCTGTAATGGATGGTCATGGAATGGATGGAGAACATGTTAGTACATTCGTAAAGGAACTATTAAAATGTATGAATCAATGAATATGTAGATAATTTGAATAAATATTATAAGGTGTTTGATTTTTAAAAGATATTTTTTGACATTCATTAAAGAATGAAATTGTAAACAGAATTTGGATGTTAATTTTCTGGGACAACTTTAACATTAATACTTTTAAAAGAAACAAATATATAATGTGGTTGGGTAGGTGATAGTAGAGCAATTTTAGTGAGAAAGAATTAAAATTAAAATTAATCTATAATAGAATTATCAATAGATCATAAACCTCATTAGGAAGGGGAAAGATAACGAATAGAGTAATGTGGTGGAGTTGTAGATACATATCATTTACCAAGTGGAGCTCCAATAGGACCATCAAGAGTTTGGGCAAAAGGAGCATAATTTCCTGGTTTAGCTATGAGTAGAAGTTTAGGAGATTTTGTTGCTGCATCTGTTGGTGTATCTTAAATACCAGAGTTAAGATAAGTGGATATTGTGAATAAAGAAGATTTATTTATTGTATTAGGATCAGATGGAATATGGGAGTTTTTAGATAATCAAACTGTATTATGAGTTTAAATTATCAAGATTGCAGATTTAGTTTATCCATTTTATTAGAAGAATGATCCTTAAGGAGCTTGTTAAAAGATTATTTCAGAAGCTGTGGCTGCTTGGAAAGCTCATAGTGAAGGAATAGATGACATTACTGCAATAGTTATATTCTTTTAATATGAATTATGATAATTATAAACATCATAATTTTACATTTACTTTTTTCATTTTCTTAATATAAATAGAGTGTATTAAATTTCTATTTGAATTTAGAATCTAGTTTATAATTCATTTTATATTAGTAATTAAGTAGTTTGTTAAAATAAGTTTGTAAAATAATACATAGGTAAAACTAAGATTACATATTTCAATAATATTCATCTTCTTCAATCTCATCAAACATTGAGATGGTTGGTTATTTCCAATTCTTTTTGGTTTCTTCATCAACTAAAGTATTAATGATATGTATCATGAAGGCTTCTAATTTATAATATAGAGGTTATTATTATCTCAATTCGAAAGTCCATTCTTTCTAGTGTATATGATATCTTATAATACTTCTTCTTTTTTTCCAATAGGAATAGGGGAGTATTTTTCAGCAATTCTTGCTAAAGCTTCCATAAACTCAATCCATTACATTTAAAATAATCTATCACTTTCTAATTCATCAATTTATGTAAGAGTTGATAAATTAAATGCTAAATTAACATCTCTTTCTACAAAATTTTCATCATAAAGATTTGCTTTATTACAAATATCTTTAAGTTCATCTAAACACATAAAAGGTGGTTAACCAGGTTTAACTTTTTTAGAGGAATTTCTGATATAAACGTAATCAACAACCCATTTATATTTTTTACATACATCATCGCATTATTCAATGAAATATCTTTCTGCTCTCCATTTATGAGAATCAAATTAAGACATATGTGGCATACATTAATCTAAAATCATTTTAGTAGCTTAAACAATATTAATTTATGGATTAAATCTAACATATTTATCATCAGATAATCTGACTAAGAATTCCATCATTTGATATCTAACAAGTGATCTTTCTGGATTTCTATAATTACCTTTATAATCAATTGATGATGCACTACAAGTTGCTATAAATTTAAGATCTACATCAGCTAATTTTAATTATTTTTAATCAATTAATTAACATTGATTAACAAAATCAGATGTTGGATTAACAGACATAGAAAATACATCTCCTGTTGGATTAACACTAGCATAAAATCTATAAGTTTCTCTCATTGGTTTATATGCTTACCATAAAAGTTCTTTAACTTAATCTTACTCTTCTTATTTTTTAATAAATTTTGTGATTTTACAACATAACCAATCTCTTTCAAAACATTTACGTAATAGATCTTCAGTATCAAATTTATATTTAGGAGCCCATATTGAGATGGGATATGTCCAAATTCTTTTTTATTTTTTTCTTTTGGCAGGAATATAGATAGGATCTTAGGTTCTTGGTAAAACATCATAATTTGGATACCAATCATCAATTACAGGTTTTGATTTAGGATATGATTCTAAGTTGGTTTCATCAATTAAAACATTAACAACCTAATGATGATGAATATATTGAGAACCTAATCAGCTATGCTAACTTTAGTTCTGAATTTTTCAATATGTTATTTAATAGGAGCACTTTAACTTGCTATTTAAATAGCATTTGCAGTATAAAAATATTCAATATCTCCAGTAGGAATCATTCTATGAGTTCGAAAATGTCCTTTTTCATCAGGTTTTCCTAAAAATATAGGTTCATAACCTTCATAATCAAAATGTATGAAAATTGGTTCATCAAAACATGCTCCACTTTAATCTAATAATTAATATAAATATTTATATATACTTGGTATCCATTCGAATGTAGCCATTTACCAACAATCACAAATCCAACATACATCTTAAACTTTTTCAAATCTAGATACATTATCATATGGTTTTGGATGTGGCATAACTCCTCTAATTCTTTATTCTATATGAATTGAATTGAAATTCTTCATACTAGAATCAATTATTAAAAATCCTTTTGAATCTATATATCCAAAATTTCCTCTAAAATGAAATCCATAAATAGAATGATTCTATTTTAATGCTTCTGATATAATTGCACAATCTGATTATGTGAAACTATTAGCTGATAGATCCAAATGTTGAATTGTTTTATTTTCAATAAGGAAATCTCTCAATGCTGCTGATATTACATTACCACATCCTAATAAATTGTATGAAAAATCTAAAACTTTAATATTCTTATTTGTTTATAAGGCTTTGAAAATTTCAACTCCACCAGAACCTTTAATAGAATTCCAACGGAGATACAATTCTAATAATGTATCATTTTGTTCTATGAATTATTTCAAACTTTAATGTACATTGTTACTTATTTTATTTTTTGATATATTCAAAGTCTCAACAGAGAGATTCTTGCACATTGCTCTACATAATTGAATAATTAGTTAATCACCTAAATTATTATCTTCTAAATTCAAGATCTGAATTCTAGTAATTATATATTTTAATTTACTTGCATTATTATAATGGTAAAGTTTTCAAAATAGAGTCTAATCCTTTCTCTCCAATAAGATTAGTTTAAAATTCAATTTTCCTTGCTTATTTACTGATAAGTGGCATCAATTAAGATGCTCCATATTCTTTTATTCGATTATGATTAAAATTGAAATCCTAAATAGCTGGGAGTGTTCTTAAACCTTCAGATAATACCTCTACATATTTATCTCCAAATTTTTAGTTTTATATAGTGAGTGAATTACGATCACCCTTCAATTTTATTAAACCCATTTTACATGGTAAAATCCTGAGTTTTTCAGATCTCGATATCAAGTTAGTCTATACAGAGTCTATAATTTATTGATTCGATTAAATACTTTAAATATTGTCAAATTAGTTCTGCTCCAAAATTCTCTTTATATTTTTAAATGTATGGTAATAGGATCTGTATGCATCTTCACCAACTAAGTCTTTCGGTTTACGATCCTCATAAGGTTCTTCATAATTATATGTCAGACTCCCGAACACCTCCTTCTAATCAAAATATTGAATTCATTTAACATCATTAATTAGATCTCTTTCTTTCGTTGGTTATTGGATCTTATAATATTGTCTGTTATAGCGTTTGGGCATACTCACATCTTCTAATCCACCTAAATACGGCAGTTATTTTGCTATTGAAATCTTCGGTAAAGCCATTGATCTCATCGAGTATTTACCCTACATAGACTCAAACTCATACTAACTTCCTTCCATTTTCACTATCAATAGTTGTGATCTGAATATCTTCCATTTTTTAAATTAATACAAACAAATAAATTAAACCAAAACTCTCAGTATCAATTACCTATCTCAAAGGTTTCCTTCTCACTCTCATCTGTATCAGCCTTATTAACCTTCTTATCATCTGTAACTTACTCTGTCAAAGTCTTTATTAAACTGTTATGATTCATTTTCTTTCTCTCTATTGTTACAGATCTTGATATGCCATATAAATTTTGTTATTCATTGTTCTTTCTCTCTTATTTCTTTCTTCTCTAAAACTCTCCATATTGTATTTATACTGGTCTTACATCAGACAACTTTTTAGTAGTTCATCACCATACTTATGATATCCAAATCAAAAAAGGCAAGATATTTTCTAGTTCCCTATCAAATTTGTCATAAAAAAAATCCTTTATCTTTAAACCATTTTCATTATTCATTGTAAATGAGAAAATTGAATTCTAATTATTTAAAGAATGTATTCTTACATCAACAATTATTACATCTTTCAGATCTCTACCTAACTTTGTTAAATCCTTTGTTAATCCATTCTTCAAAGGTGTGCAACTGTCTCTGAATAATCTCTCTACTGCTTTTCTATCTGGATCAATATAATCCATTACTGGCATAGCATATTCCTTTAAACTAGCTGTCCAAAATACTATATCATAAAAATTATTAAGCTAATCTATGAATTTCTTTACTCCTGGACGAATAATTACATAAACCTTGAAATTTTGTTATTATACAACAATCTAAATTCTAACTTAACAAATACGTCAAGTGTCAAGTCATGATTATCAAAATGCTAAAATTAACTATGCACCAATGTTTCATCTAAATCTAAAACTATTATTTTTCTTTAACCCTATATATTGCTATATTTTCATACAATAAATGAAGATTTTGGAGTATCTATTTCTGGATGATATTAATTTATCTGTTTAGGATCTTTTTTGAAATATTCAAAACAAGAACATAAACGATTAAAAAATGATCTTTTTTCTTATGTCTAAGAGTATATGATTTAATTATTTTACATTTATATATAATATTGTCAATTTATAATCTCACTCAATTATCTTCTAAATGAATGTCTACGTTATCTATTCATATCAATCTCATCATCATTTATAAATTTTACCTATATTTTTCTATTAAATGAAACTCTCTTTGGAGATATTGTCTCAAATTTCCTTGGAGAAAGATGTATTGAGGATTCCAAAGGTACAAGTGTCACATATTTATTATTTCGAATAGGTTATTCTTATTCTTTATCAATTGATTCAAAAAAATCAAAAATATCTGAATGTCTACTATTGTTAGACCCTTTTAAAATACTCTTAAGTTGACAATTGTCCTTAACTCTAGTATCGATTTTTCTTAATAGTCCTTGTTATAAGTTTTGAGACACCTAATTAAAGATAACTTTCTTATTTTTCAAATTCTATCTAACTCTTGATGTTTATGGTTCGTGAATTTAATCACTATGTCTACCATATAATAAATCATCTTAAACTCTACTTGTATTAGGAATGTTTTAAAGAGATTTAAATTACTAATATAGAGTTATTTCAGGTAGAAATAAATATCTAGATTGTTGTTGAAAAATCTAATTTGGTATTTAGTTATCTGAATTAGAAGGCTACCTGTGGTACATTAATAAATAATGAATGAAATAATAAAAAGGAGAGAGATTAAGATATTATTTAAATATGAAAATTGAAATATAGATTTTACTGATTAGTATGATATAGATAGAATTTAATAAATGAATATTAAATATGATATAATCAGGCCAATTCTAAAACGTCATGCATAAAGATTTGAATGTATAGATAAACAAAGGGGGCACTAAAACAAAGGGAATCAAGCTATTATTGTATATAAGATGTATTTACTCTATCAAGTATGCCACCATGACCAGGAAAGAGTGAGCCAGAATCTTTGACATCAGCTACTCTTTTGATAAATGATTCAATCAAATCTCCAAAAATAGATGCTATGGAAACAATCAATGAAATTAATAGGAAATGTTTAGTGTGGAGATTATCTAAAGTGATGAAGGATAAGAAATTCATTTATGAAAGTATAAGTGAAGTGAAAACACTTAAGAAAATACCTCCACTGACTCCTTCCCAAGTTTTATTAGGGGAGATTTTAGGACAAAATAATGTTTTTCCAAACATGGAACCCATAAACAAAGCTCCATTATCAGTTTACCAAGCAGATATCAACCAAATAAGATTTAATGCTTAAGCTTATTTGTATTAGAATACAATTAAAACAAAATTAAGAGGATAGACAAATAATATGAATTCTATATAATATTATATATAATTACAAACAATATCTGCAGACATTTAAAAAAAAGTTAACATTTATATTTTCTTTTCAACCATTTGACTAGGAAATTTATCTGAAATAGTTCTAAAATTGTGATTGAAAAATTACTTCTCATTTTATTTTAAGAAATCACTAATTTTAAGATAATTCATCAATCTAACAAGAAGTAAGAAGAATATGGATATTATCATATGTAAATGGACACATAAGGGATTACTTTACATAATTGACATGGTAATAAAATAATGAGTTGGAATACGAATGAACTATTGATAAATAAATAAATAAATATACCCAAGAAGATGCCATAGTTTCTACATACCAACGATCAGAATCACTACAATTATGTTTGAGTACATTAGATATCAATTTTTGAAATTCTGCATGTAATAAATATAGAACAACTAAAATGTTATATGATTATTAAGATACCATTAATAAGTAGACAGAGTGCCAATTGATTTTGAATTGTATAATAGACTATAGGTGCTCCAATAAATCCGGTAATAAATCTTTAAGTCCAATTAACCATTAATTAATTAAATGTTTCATGAGTTTCTATAAGAGTTGGGTACATTGAAAAATGCAGAACTTCCTTTTCCTTTCCGTAACTAATTCAAAATAAAAGAGAATTTTATTAATCCAAATAGTAAACATTTCGAGTCTATTGCTTAAAAGTTACTAAAATCATTTATACTTATATAGATTATTATCAGAAGAGAAGGCAGGTATTAAACGTAAATGGGATAAATAATGTAAGATGATGTTTATATGGATATTGGGTAAATTCTTTTAACTCAAAAACAAAAAGACAATTAACCCAAATTAAGAGGAATGGATTTAATTGGCTTCAATTCTTTAAATTGATGAAATTACACTTAAATAAAGATGGATCACATTAATCAATCCTGTTTCTAAGAGTATTAATTGGGATCCAGAAGAAGATGAAATTATTAAATCACTTATGCAGTGAGTTTATTAATATCTATATAGTGAACAAGATGAAAAACATATATGGACACATATTGCATTAGAATTGTATAATCAAAATAATGGATAATTTATTAGAACACCTAAATAAGTTAGAGAGAGATGGATGAATTATTTAAATCCCAAACTTAAAAAGTAATCTAAATTAATTTATTAAATAGAACTAATTGGAGTCAGTAAGAAGATCTTTAATTATTAAATACAGTTGTTAAAAATGGAAAGAGATGGTCACTCATATCTACTTTATTAGATGGTAGAACTGAAAATTAAGTTAAAAATAGGTATAACTCAACTCTTTATTTATTTAGATTCAAAAGTTTAATTTAAAAAATATATAAAGATGAAGAAGATGATGATATTGAAGAATTATAAGCTATTAAAGAATATTTGAATAAATAAAACATTGAAGAAGAAGAATAAGAATAATAACCTTTAAAGCAAGAACCATAAATTAGAACTTAATATTCAAGATAAGCTAAATAAAAATTTAATCTTAGAGACAAAACCAAAGATAAACCTTAAGAAACTCCTCCTCTTTAAAATTAAGAAATCTTAATTAAAAAAAGAAAAATTAGTTCACAAATCAAAGATTTTCTTAATATTGGTCCTGATCCTGTCATTTAATAATCAAAAAAGGTACAATAAACTTAAAAACCTAAATAAAAGGAAATCTAATAACAATAATAATAATAATAATAACAATAATAATAATAATAATAATAATAATAATAATATTAATAACCAATTATCAGATAAAAATAGGAATAAGTAATCAATAAATACAATGAAGATTAATTATTGGAATAATCATCCTTTTAACTTGATCAATAATAAAAAATTCTGTCTCAACAATATTAAATAGCATAACTATAATTAAATGAAAATAATAAAAGAGAATTATCAACACCAAATACATTGTCTTATTATTTCTAACCATAATTATAATAAATTGAAGAATTGAAGAATGAACAAATTAGATTGAAATAAGTTTAAATGTCTCCAATTCAATAATAATAGAATCAAGTTCTTTATTAAGGATTTCGTCCATATCAAGAAGAAATCTCTTAATAAATTTAATAGACTCCTGTTCAAATGTTGATGGGATAATATTTTAAGAATTATCCATCTAATTATAACTTAATATCCCCTTTTCCTTAAATGAATTAAACACCTATGGTTTATACACCTGCATAACCGATGTATATGTACAATAACAACAATAATAATTATATGGGTATGTCACCTTTACTCATTCACAGTCCATATCAAGAAATGTCTCCTAGTGTTTAGCCTTAGTAAGCACCACCATAATAGAATATGTGGTAAACTCCACTTTAAACAACTATCGATTAAATTTAAAGTGATTAATTAAAGCAATAATAATTTGTAATTATTTTTATGCTAAATAGAATACAAATTTAGAATTTCTAAAATCAAATAACTTACTTAATACCTGGATTTAAAAAAGAACAAATGAAAAATAAAATTAACCATTCTATGACTCATTACAATCACTTGATTAATGATATATTTAAATGTATTAAATTGTATATATATCATTAAAAATTTACTATATCAAATTTCTATCATCTTTTCCTCATAACTGCATTCCATACTTTTTAGAATTTCTTACTCTGTCTAAGTATTGGATTCTGGATTAATAAAATCTAAGATTATTGAATTTTATGTATCTAAATAATAAAGTGAAATTGTAAATAGTAATCCTACAATTGATGCTACAAATGAGTAACCTTATTCTTGATTGATAGAGTTCTCTACAATTTTAGCTGCTACTAAAGGAAATAGAGTCATAGCTGTATTTGTAAACATACCAACAAAACCAAAGGCAGTTCCAACCAATCTTTAAGGTACAGCATATTAAACAGTAGGAATAATAATAAGCAGTACATTGAATATGATAAGCCTAATATGAGTAAAGTGATGATTGAAATATAATTAGGATAATTTGAAGGTTCTGATTTCATTATACCAAATAGGAAATGAGTTAGAATGTATGGACCTATAAGTTGACTAAAGATTGCTAAATTTAAACATTTAAATATAAATTTATCTGCTGCTAAATAAGTAAGCTTCAATAATCTTCCAGATTA